CACTGTGTATACAAGGCCTCAATCTTGTTTAGAATTCTTATACATATACAGAGCTTTGATTCTGATTCAGTGATTTCAGTCACTTTTCTTACTACTTTAAGTAAACCCTCTGAGAGGTTCTGCATATCTTCCAGTTCAGATAGCAGAGAAGAGTGTTGTTTATATTAACTAGAGAAGGTATTCATTTCAGTGATTTCTTGTTAATTGTACAATGTCTATTATTATATTACTATATCATTATATCACTATATTATTATATCACTATATCATTATATCACTATATTGTTATATCACTATATTATTATATAATTTCTGTTATTATCATACAACTCTGGTGATAACCACTTCTCTCTTTTTATTCTTCTTTTGAGTAGAGAGTAGACTTCTTTGAATCTGGTTCACTGCTCTCATTCTCTTTCTCACACTTCATTTATTTGCATACATGGTATTTGCCTGAATGTGAAGTTTTTCCTCAATAAGTGAAGCAGTATCAATCAGATACTCTTCTGCTCACTGCTCTTTATATGCTATCTTTTAAAATGTTCTAGAACCACACTGACATGATAACTATAAATTACTTCATAGACAGAATTATCACACTCTGAAGAAGTCTGTGCTTCTCACTGGTTTTTAGACATGCTATCAGATGTGATTCAAAGATTGCTTAAGTCAGTGTATAATTACAGGCATACACTGGCTTCTTATATATTGTATGCTAAATTAATTAGTGGCCGCTATGACCCCTTTACATTTGTAAGCAAGTTCGGAAGCGGCCGCGTTATTATCCGACAGTTGTACGTTCTTCCGGACCACATTCTGAATGTGAGAGATCTCACTTTGACATCTGTTAATTAATCAATTCAGACAGTGCTTCAGATAATTGAAGAATAAACAATACTGTAAGAATAAAGAAATTCAAGAAAAAGAAGAAAAAGAATAATAGTGAGAATAAAACTCAACTATTCATTACAGATGAATCAGACATCTATCAGATAACAAATCTCACAGAGGTTATCAATATATCAGTCTGTTTTATAAAATCTCACAAGAATTCCCTCACTATATGAAATAGTGATGCTGAATGTCACATAGTGAGTGATAGATCACATTTTTCAGAACTTATAGCAATCAATGATTCAACAGTTTAAGTGATCAATAAGATTATTATGAAGATTCAGAGTGTTAGCACTGTATTCATCTCAGTGAGTGAAAGATTGATAGAATTTAATTATATATACTATATATCAGAACTATCTGCAAATCTGATCTCTGCTGAGCTTATAAAACATCAGAGCTATATTTACTGTGATATATAAGTTAATGCTGAAAACTACTTTGAGTTTCTATCATTTATTAACAGTGATATCTTCTATATTAATCTGTTTCATAATAATATTTACATTCTATCTGACAGCTCACTGACATTTCATGAGATAATGAATAACTTAATATATGAAGCAGTGACATATGTAGCTGTTCTGAAATCAAAGACAATCTCAACAGATTACAATTCAAGTGCTGAGTCTTTGAGATCTTTCAGCTATAAGAAGATTGAACAGTTAATCAATTCTAAGAATTCAGATACTAATTTCTTTATTATCTTATCTTTATCTTGATTATCTGCAGTTCTTCTGAAACAGCTTCTGATAGATAAGTGACATTATTGACTTAATCATATTAATGAAAATAGTATATTAAAAATGACTAGAGATCTGTGATTTAATATTATTATTATTGATCTGAAGAAATTATCATTCTATACTATATATGTTAAGACTAAACAGAAACATGCTTTCTATAAGAATTTCACATCACATCATATCACCTGCAAGACCTTGAAGATTTGAGTGAATATATTCAGTGATGATGAGACTCTTGAAATCAAGAATAATATATCATCTTACACTGATAAGAAGCTTGCAATGATGATAATAGATGATGTCATCTGTATAAGATGAATATTTCTATTGAAATGCAAGGATGAGATGTTGAGATATCTACAGATCTTCAACTAATTTATCAAGAATCTGCTGAGACATGATATTGCAATCATTCACTCAGATTATGAAGAATTGAATTCAAATGCAGTCACAGTATATATACTCAGTGAAGATATAAAATAAGAGCTGACTCTCTCTTATACTTCACAGTAAGATGAAGTATTTGAATAATTGATCAGTTTAATTATTGAGAAGTTTCAATCACTATTAATAGACTCTTCAGCTCTGAAAAAGATGTGAAATGAGACAGTTATTACAGTCACAGAGCTGCTTAATCTTATATCAATCTCAATGATATTGTATGAGAGCTCTGAAAATACAAAGCTGATTACACTGTATAAGATCTGACTTGAAGCTCTACTCTCTGTACACAGCATTCACTGATGAGGTTGCAAAGCATTCTTGAAGATAGTTTTCAAGCTCATCAATAAGATGACTTTCCATTTCAAAGAGTTGATTTTTGTGAGTTATGATGATTTTATCAATTATAGATTGATAAACCCCTTCAACAGATGTTTATACATATCAAAAGACATCATCTTTCAGAAGAATCTTCATCTTATCAATTCATTGATATCAACAACACACAATCTGAAGATTCTACTCAATACAGTCTGTAAAGTAACTGTAGTGATTTCTTCAGTGATATCAGACCTACTCACTGCAGTCTGTCAAGAGACTGTAACAATTTCTTCAGTGATTTCTGATTTATCAATAGATAATCTATTTATTAATGAGAAAATCTGATCTGAGTGTTCATTATTTCTTATACTCACTAAGAATTGATGAATTGACTATGAAATCTCTGTGAGAATATCTATCTTTTTAGTGCAGAATACACTGAACTTCTCAGAATTCACAGTTGAATCTGATAACTCTCTGACATTTACAAGAGATATCACTATAGTGAGAGAATTAATAGTGAGAGAATCTTCAGTGAGAAACAGTCTTGAAGATCTACTCACTGATTCTGAGATTACTGCACTTTCAATCCTGAAAAACCTCACATGTGTCAAAGCTTTCATGAAATGAAAGTATTATTACAAGATCTGTGTTAAAGAGATCAACTGTTTGAAACAGATAGAGATCTGATAACTGATTAAGAGAACATTATAAATGAGTGTTCTTCACAGTCAATAAGTATTTGATAAAATGTTTAATAATATAGATAATGTTATCTGCTATAAGATCTGCTGAGTTGTCTGCAGAAATCATTAATAAAAGAAAGTGAATTACTTAAGAATCTTTACATCTGTTATCTCTGCATTCATCTCATAAGCTCTCATAACAATCTCAGCATTCTGAGAATGATATGTTCTGCAGATTGATATAGTGATCACTTTTTTAAACACTCAACTGTCTGCTAATGAACAGATATATATAAATCAACTTACAGAATTTCACAAAGACTGTGATGATCTTGTGTGTGAGTTAATGCAGAGACTCTACAGTCTTAAGTAAGCAGCACTCTTATAATATGAGAAGCTGTAAAAAATGCTATTATACTCAGGCTTCTGTGTCAGTCTCTATAATGCTGAACTATTTATTCATAATAAAAGACAGATCTATATAATTATCTACATAAATAATATCTGTCTCTACAGTCTGAAAATCAAAGATCTGAACTGAGTCAAAGCTAAAATCATTACTAATTACAAGATCAAGAATATAGAGAATTTTAATCACTATCTAGAAATGAAGATTGATAGAGATTTAACTTCATTAATATTATCTCAATTTCTCTTTGTAAGAAATCTTCTGAAGAAGTTCTCAATAAATGACTATCATTCTACATTCACTTCTATAAAGAAGAATATTAATTTTATGAATAATAATGAGAAACTGATTATATACACAGCAGAATTTATTCTACAGTTCTATTAATCTGGTATCAGATCTCTATAATATCTGACATCTAATACATATTCTGATATGAGCTTCACTGCAGAATTTCTTGAATAATTCAGCTCTTAGTCTATATCAAAAAACTGAGCTGTATACAAGCATACACTCTGATATCTACAGCATTCAATCAATAAGGGTATAACCTATCACAGAGGTGCTGAAATTGAACCTGTAGTATATACAGATGTCAATTGAGCTGGTAGAGATTCAGAATTCTGTTCAATCACTGATTATATCATCTACATAACAGATGGCTCTGTTGTATGACAGAGCTGCTGATAAATAGAAGTCTTCAAGTCATTAACAGAGACTGAATATATTACATTCTCTGAGACTGTATATGAGCTTGTCTGTCTCTGAGAGCTTCTAGAAGACACTGAATTCATTCCATCTCATCTCAACAATCTGAATGTCAATGATTATCTCATTCTCACTACAGTCAATGATCTGACTTATACAATTCATACTGATAATAAGTCTGTCATAGAGCTATTCTCTTTCAAAGCAATTTCACATCACTCAAAGTATATAGAGATTCATTTTCACATTCTTCAGAATCTTATCTGCAAGAATGAGATATTTATCTGATATATTTCATCTACTGAGAACACAGTGAATAAGCTTACTAAATCACTTGAAATGTTGAAATATACATGTTGAAAGGAGATTATGAAGATGAAGAGATAGAGAGATAAAAAATAATGTATATCATAACTGATTTTTCATTACTTCATATTTTCCAGTCATTTTTTGTATCTGTACTTGATTTGAAGGCGAATTTTGTATATAGCATTGTGTATAGTTACTCTGATGAGTGAGAGTGTCAGGTCACATGATCTGGCTTACTAATCCTTCCATCATATAACTTTCCACAAGCTAGCAACCTTTCAATCACACAAGCTTTACACCTTACACATGTAACCAGTTAGTTAATGAAAGGGGAAAAAAAAAAAAAAAACTATTGTAGTGAGTTGCGCTTGGCACAGTTAGTGCTCATTTAAAGTTCGTGGATTGAACTTGCTTAGTCATTGTTCGTGCCGGTCCTTTGTGATCTTTCTGCTTTGGGTCTAGCTCCATTTTTCCCCATGTCCTCACGTGAGTTAAACCGCAGATGGGACTCATTTACGTGAAAAGAATAGCACAAAATATCTAAATAGTAATACTGCCGGCTGCAGGCGACTTTCTCATTGCCTGTTCCACAGGAAATACAATCCTAATATTTCCTTTCCCTGCGTGAGTGCTGTGTTGTCCCTCAATCTCGGCTGAGCTGCGCCAGCCGAATGGTTGGTCGAGTGGAATTACTAACTTGTGTTTCAGCGTGTTTCTTATTCATTTACCTCGCAGGGCCTGACACTCCCTTAGTTTTCAATTATCGAACACCCATTTTTCTCCTCATCTGCTCCACCATATCAGGGCCTAGAAATAGATATCAACCGATTGGACTTTGCTTTATTGCCTGACACGCCATTCTTACGCTACGTACTCCTCCGAAGCCGTGTTTTGATTCCTCCCCCTGAATTTATCCGCACCACTCCAATAGCTCCAGCGACGCTAGCGAACGACATTCATAATGGGTGTCCAAGTCTCCAAGATCATGGGAAAGATCTTCGGGTCTAAAGAAATGCGCCTTCTCATGCTTGGCCTTGACGCTGCGGGGAAGACGAGTGAGTAATGCTATATCTCCGGCCGTAAAGCCTTCCCCTAATCCCTAAGTTTTACGGAGCTAATTGGCCTTGCGTTACAAGCAATCCTCTATAAATTAAAACTTAACCAAGACGTTACAACCATCCCTACCGTCGGATTCAACGTCGAGTCTGTTACCTATAAGAATGTCAAGTTCAACGTCTGGGATGTTGGTGGACAGGACAAGATTCGCCCTCTTTGGCGACATTACTTTTCTGGTATATCTGATGTTGCCATTCTAGCTAGGAATGGCCGTCAACTAACTTTGCGATCGCGGAATTGTAGGCACCCAGGGTCTCATTTTCGTTATTGACTCGAACGATCGTGCCCGCATCGACGAAGCACGCCAGGAACTTCATCGGATCATCTTGGATCGAGAGATGAAAGAGGCTTTGCTACTAGTTTTCGCAAATAAGCAAGATATTCCAGGAGGTAAGTCTAGCCTATATTTGGTTAACAAAATACTGCTGTTTCACTTTATTCCTGATGCTGATCACAACTTTCTTATCACAGCTATGACACCCCAGGAAGTCACTGACAAGCTCCAATTGACCCAGCTGAAGGACAAAGTGTGGTTTGTTGTCCCAAGTTGTGCGACCACAGGCGAAGGACTGTTCGAAGGCTTGGTACGCATTATTTTGTCCCCGCGCCCCCAATTTGGTAGCTAAATGTACAGAACTAACATTAATAACTAGGGCTGGCTCTCCAACAACGTTAAGTCTCAACCACAAAAGCAAATTAAATAAACTCCATCAGCTAATGTCCACGGCCTCATACCAACTCCTTGAACATCTACCTCGTGCACCCGCCGCTGTACACCTGATACTTTTCAGTATGCCTAGGGCATTATTTCTCTACCAGTGCTCGGCCCGAACCTTTTTCTCCGTCTACTTCTCTACCTTCCTTCTGTCATGAGTCAACGCAGCATTGACCACTTTTGTCTTTTCTTACTGTTCATTTTCGTTTTTCTATTTGCGATCCTCGTCACATGATATTTCCACCGTATGCATTTATTTTGTGTTTTCCTTGTTCACCCCGAAATTATTTTCCTTATGATATCCCCTTTGTTACTTTCATTTCTTTGTATGGGGTTCCCGTATGATATTTTCCACCCAATATATGGTTTTGTAATATTCATTTTCACTGATAATTAGACCATGGACGCTTAACAGAGCATATGGAAGATTTTTCAACCATGCGTGAAACACATCCAGTAAGCTACATTATATCAATCCAATGTCAGTCGATCGAAATTTCCGTTGTTTCAGTACTAAAATACAGGTGAGTTACCAGCAGGTCTGCCTCTGGACCATATCCCTTAAAACCCCAATCATAATATACTGTGACCAGTATCTCAAAATCAAACCCCGGAGTCACCCAACGCCGTACAACCCATGAAAAGAACAGAGATAAAATTGAATACATAACCTTTTATTTTCCAACATTCCTATATCTCTCTCTCGCCAGTCCACCTTCACCCCCCTCAATTCCATAGCCTTCCCCGATTTCCCCAACAACCCTAGCCGGCCTGCCTCCCACAACGCACCAACTCGGCACCACCATCCCCGGTGGCACCACCGCGCCGTCTAACACAACGACATAATCCTTCAGGATAGCCATAGACCCTATCACCGCTTCTTTTCCAATATGCACATGGTTGCCAACTGTGGCCGCCTCCACGACTGCCTTCTCCCCAACAAAAACATGGTCGCCAATTTTCAACGGGTAGAATGAATGCACACCACGATGTAGACGCGAGGGCGGGCGGAGGAGGCAGGAGCGTGAGAGGTATGTGTAGCGACCTATTGAGACGGCGACGGCAGGGCTAGCTGGCGCTGGGTTGGAGGATGTGGATACTTGGTGATCAGATTGCTGCCTGAATAGGTCACCGCGGATGCACACGTCGGCTTGGATGACTGTCTTGCCGCCGAGAATGATGTGTTGGGTTCCGTGTACTTGGGATCGGCGGGAGACCTTGTTTCCAGTGTCCTGCAGGCGGAAAGTTAGACGGGGTGAAGCTTAGTAATGGAAAGTGTGTGATAGTGTAAATTACAGTTTCTATGTATTCTCCCTTGACAGCCTTGGGAGGCATACTTGCGACGCCCCCTCTTGTTTTGGGGAGGAAATCGGAGGAGAACTGCGAGTCGGAGCCAGTGTTTTGTTACCAGCCAAGATATTTATTTTGCCGGCTCTTTGAGACAAAAGCTGCCCAGGCGGTGAAGAGTCGGTCCACGTGACGGACAGAGCCCTATCCCTTTTAACAAGGAACAAAGGTAACCTTGAAACGAATATCCTATTCATATTCAAGATAATGAGTTATGTCCGTTAGCTTCGGGCAATGTGCACGGTGGTCTTCTTTTAATTTCTACCGACAACCGCGATACCTACCTTAACCCGGTATTTCCCCGACCGTGGTCAAATCCGCGCGCAGATTTGTTTGCTAGCCCTACGGACGGGGTCTATCGTCGCTTGATTTCTGCGATTAAGCTAAATATCGTTGTATCTTTGGATCGTCCATTAATTCTTGGACTACCCGATTGTTGTCAGTTGGGTACTACTGTCGTCCTACGTACCAATGCATTTTCCCGTTCATTAAGCGCATGCAAACGTCACTCGTCAAAGTGCGTGAATGCCCACCACCCAGTCCCGAGTCCGCGAAGGCATCTGGACACGGACAGCAAACTTTTGCTCTCGGCTTTGAATACTTCAGCTGGTGGTGTGCACTAGTAGAGGAAGAAATCCTATCTTGTCTAAGCCCCTATAAAGAGGACCAACATTCCACTTTGTAACATGACCATTTACCATGCTACCAACCGGCACCATCCTTTCCAACACGATTCACCGACATTTATACGTGTCCTGAGAGTAGCTAAATTTCCAATTTCATGGCTCACCATGGCGTACTCTAGAATCGCGAACTGGCGGACCAACATCCTGTTGGTATCACTTCCAGTCAATGGATATTATCCACCCCTGATATACGCGGCGCCCTCTAGCACACTAGCTAGTGAGAAGCCTGTATTCACTATGCCAGACAACGCGGATCGAGGGGCCTTATTACTTCCAAATATCAAAGATCCCAAATCAATGAATGCGCAGCATGTGTGTCCAGGATATCTTGCGTCCGATGTCACCGAAACAACGCATGGTTTCACGGCCTCCTTATCTCTCTCTAGAAAGCCATGAAATGTCTATGGGACAGATGTGAACAAGTTGAATCTTACGGTCGAGTATCAATCCAAAGACAGGCTAAACGTCAATATCGTACCGGCCCATATATCCCGCTCCAATCAATTACATTATATCCTCCCCGATCATGTGGTTCCAAGGCCAAAGCCCAGCGAACCGTCGTATGCTCATAGCGGCGAGATAGATCTCAACTTCAGCTGGTCGAACGAACCCAGTTTTTCATTCAAAGTGACCCTCAGGAGCACAGGGGACGTGCTTTTTGAAACCACGGGAACGGTGTTGGTGTTTGAGAATCAATTAGTCGAGTTTGTCAGTTGGCTGCCTCCTGATTATAACCTTTATGGGCTAGGGGAACGCATCCATAGGTTGCGGCTTGGAAACAATTTCACAGCTACCATCTATGCAGCGGATGTAGGGGACCCGATCGATACGTATGTTACCATTATCTACCTATACATGCACCGTTGTGATTCGACATTTATTATATGTATAGCAATCTTTACGGCTCCCATCCTTTCTATCTCGACACTCGATATTTCGAAGTTCCAAAGGATGATAAGCTAATCCCTGCTACGGACAATGAGCATGATCCTTCACGGACGTACGTATCGCAACTCTCACGGGGTATTCTTACAAAATGCTCATGGGCATGAAATTCTCCTTCAACCTGACAGCCTCACCTAGCGAACTTTGGGTGGCAGTATTGATCTGTACTTCTATTCGGGCCCATCTCAACCTGAAGTGACAAGAAGTTTTCAATTCAGTATGATTGGGCTCCCACCATTACAGCAATATTATACTTTCGGATTTCATCAGTACCGTTGGGGCTACAAAAGTTGGACGGAGCTAGAAGACGTGGTGTCCAACTTTGAGAAGTTGAAATTCCGCTCGAAACCATTTGGTGAGAAAATCGTCTGTTCGGCTCCAGTGGATAAAAGCAGGGCTAATCCTAAAGTATAGGTCTGATATCCATTTTATGAAAGGCTATCGCGATTTCGAGTTTGACCCTAACAATTATCCCATCCCAGAAGGGCAGAAATTCGTCTCCACCCTTCACCAAAAAGACTTGCACTGGATTCCGATGGTGGATGCAGCATCTACATCCCTAACCCTGAAACCCCCGCCGATGCGTATGCCGAGAATATCCCAAAATTACGTTTTTCCCTCCATTGATCGTTGAATAGGTACAAAACATTCGAGAGAGGAAACGCTTCAGATATATTTCTCCGAAACCCGGATGGCAGCGTTTACATTGGCGCGGTATGGCCGGGATATACCGTGTTCCCTGGTTTTTCCGCTTCAGGTTCCCGAGAATGGTGGTCAACTGAGCTAAAAGAATTTTTCAATAAAGTTCCATATGACGGGATCTGGATTGATATGAATGAAGTCTCTTCCTTCTGCGTTGGTAGCTGTGGTTCGGGAAACCTTACTCTCAACCCAGTCCATCCGCCTTTCCAACTACCGGGAGAACGTGGCAATGTGATTTATGATTATCCCGAGGGCTTCAATATTACCAACGCAACCGAAGCCGCGTCCGCGTCTTCTGCTTCCCTAGAACAAGCTTCCAAAACTGTGGGTACCCCAGGAGCACCACAACCAGGAGGCCAGATTACTTTCGCACCACTCCCATTCTAGGAGTTCGGAACGTTAACCAGCCTCCGTACGTTATAAATCATGTTCAGGGTGATCTAGCAGTTCATGCAGTATCACCAAATGCCACAAGTGCCGACGGAACCCTCGAATATGATATCCACAACCTGTTCGGACATCAACTTCTGAGCGCGACTTATCATGGTCTCTTGGAGGTCTTTCCAAACAGGCGACCTTTTATTATCGGCCGATCTACATTCTCGGGAAGCGGGAAATGGGCTGGCCACTGGGGGGGCGACAACCAGTCCCGGTGGGCTTATATGTTCTTTTCCATCCCTCAAGGCTTGTCATTCTCCCTCTTCGGCATCCCGATGTTTGGCGTCGATACGTATGGGTTCAACGGCAACAGTGACGAGGAGCTGTGCAACCGATAGATGCAACTTTCAGCTTTCTTCCCATTCTACCGCAACCACAACGTCCTCTCGACCGTATCGCAGGAGCCCTATGTGTGGTCATCGGTCATCAAGGCCACCAAATCAGCAATGGCAATCTGGTACGCATACATGTATACGCTCTTCCATCAAGCACACACGACGGGCTCAACCGTCATGAGAGCCTTGGCTTGGGAATTTCCTAATGACCTAAGTCTAGCATCAGCGGACCGTCAGTTCCTCCTCGGTCCTTCCCTTATGGTAATCCCAGTTCTGAAGCCTCAAGCTACAGCTGTGGACGGTGAGATCTGGTATGATTGGTATGCCCACACACCGTTCAAGGCAATAGCAGTCAAAAACTCCACCATTGATGCCCCACTCGGCCACATCCCCCTTTACGTTCGTGGTGGAAGCGTCCCTCCAATGCACGAGCCAGCCCTAACAACACGAGCCGCGCGGAATTCTCCATGGTCTCTTCTCGTCGTATTGGATAGAGAATCCAGAGCAAAGGGACAGATATATATCGACGACGGAGAGAGCGTTAAACCTAATTCAACTTTATTAATCCATCTCACTGTGGAGGGGAATAGCATACATGCCGTCTCCAATCGGTCGTATGAAGATACAAACTGCCTTGATAGATTACAAGCTCATCGGCATGCGGGGTTACGTTCAACGACCATAAACTCCCTTACGAGTTTGTGGCATATAATAAGACATCGCGTGTCTTGGCCGTTACTAAACTGAAAGAGTTTATGAATGGGAAGTATACGTGGAGTGAGGATTGGGTGCTGAGGTGGTGATGGCGGGCCTGACTCGTCAAAAGGAATTCAATCGGTAAGAATTTATCCTGAAATATGATTACTAGTGTATTGAATCTCCAGGCCGATCTGGGATTTAGGCAGTGAGCTAGTGGGCAAGCTAGGGGCTTTGGCCTCTATAAGTCCCCTAGGACTCCCTATCCTTTAATTAAGAGATGGAATCGCAATACTTATGATTTTCTTTGCAAAACAGTATTTTAACATTGAAGGCTCGAGGGCTGATAATATTGTCAACTTGTAGATTCCGAGAAATGCCAGATGCCTGTAATAGAATGTTCGATTCCAAAAGAACAACTTAGCGATATGCTATCATCGATAAAAATATGCGACTAGTTCATCGTAGGCCTTTTGTGACTCATCTTCCCCTGGTAGCTTCCCTACGAGCTGGAGTCGTAGTTGTTGAGCCTCAGCCTTGAGTCGATTGCCTTCTTCAATCTGGCCGACATCACATAAGACCTCTGCGAGCTGGTATTTTGTTCGCGCAATTTCGGGCCGTGTGTCTATGGCGTGTTTATTTGTATGTATCTTAAGTGACAGCCGAAGATAATCGCTGTATACACGGGTCAAAGAGAGGCCTCGCAAACATTCGGGTCGTGAAACTTACATTGCCATTCCGTACTCGCCTTGTTCTCGTAGGAACCAGGCAATTTTGTTGTAACAGGCTGCGGTCTTGTGGTGAGTTATCCCAAGTACTAGTTGATGCACTATCATGCTTTGGGCGTAGAGATCAAACGCGGCGTCAAAATTTCCCTTGTCGATGAGAACATTTGCAAGAGCTGACATGGCCCAGGATTTCCTGTGTCGAAGATGTTACTTGGCGCTCCAGAGGAAATTTGGGTTTAGACATACTGTGCAAAAGGTGCCCCCGTCACTTCTTCCAGCTTTTTGATAATGTCAAGGCTCTTCTGGTATGCGGCAGTGGCTTTGTCAAATTCCTCCACCATCCACCAGCAGCGACCGATATTCATGTAATTCAAAGATAGTAGTTGCATCTGATCATCTGCGTACTTGGGCGATCCTTCTCGAATCGCAATGGCCCTTTCATGCAAGCGGATGGCACCGAGCGGATTCGTGCCGGCGATAAAGACACCGATATCCATGTAGGAGTTAGCTAATTGAGGGTGATGTTTGTCGAGCACTTTGGCAGCAACTGCTTTCTCCTTGATCTCTAATGACCTCTTGGCAAATTCGACTGCCTTATCCGCCTGGGTTAGTTCGTTGTGTATGTCAGCCTGTAGGCTATACAGGTCAGCCAGCAGCAGGCCGTGGTCCTGGAGATCAGCCCGGTTGTAAGCGGACTCTGCTGAGCCAACAATGGAGAAGCTAAGATCGAACCGACCCCTCTCAAAGAGATACCTATATCAGGATTAACAAGGTAAATTTCTGCAAAGGGTGGGATAGTGTCGTAAAAGTCATCAACTTACCATGCACAGCAGTAAAGGAGTTCAATAAAGTCATAAGAGAGTGTTAAAGTGACTTGCTCTGATAAGTTGCAATAGCGATCATTGAATGCTAGCACATGCGGTACGTATTTTTCACATTCCCCCCACTTTTCGTTCATATGGCTACGTGCTTCGCTCTGTAGAGGAAAATATTGGTGGAGCATGGCCACCGCACTTTGGAAAGCAACTTGGGCCCTGGCTACATCTGAATCGAACTCCTCTGCGATTGTATAGGCAACAATTCTATGAAGTCGTAGATTTGGTTCGTCCTCCAATTTGTCTATAAGGGAGTAGCGGCCCAAGTCTCGCATAATCCCATGACGGCTTATAATGTCAGCCAAGTAAGGTATCCTATTTTGCTTATCTTCTAGTAGTGTCTCTGGAATTCTGTCGGGATCAAAAAAGGAGAGCATGCCCAGGGCCCACAGGGAATCAATGCTGAGTTTTGAAAATATAACTGCAAATGCCGTCGCGGTGGTGTGCGAATAGCCAGGGGCAGAAAATTCATTGGGTGTCGCCAGTAATTGTCGCCGCTTCGTAGAGTCGGCATATGCTTCCCGGAATTGCGAGATACTGCACTTTGACTCCCGTATATAGGAGGCCATTTGCTTAATGGTGAGGGTGTGGTGCCCAAAAGACTCAGTGATTTGCTTGGCTTCATCATCTTGAACTCGGACACCACCGAGCTGCTCACGAAAATATATCGAGCTTTCTTCTGGGGAAAAGGGTTTGACTTCCATTCCCATATCTAGTTGGGACCCAGACGCAGGATTCTGGCTTGTCACAAGCACCGCACCACGATCCGAGGAAGGCCAGAACTGGTTAATGATTAATAGGTCATCCGCATTGTCCAGGACGAGTAGCCAAGGCTCGACTAATAATAGCGTCAGAACCATACCCACACGATCAACTAGGAAGATATCCAACATGACTGACCTGTGCGTATAAACCATTGATTGACAAGTTTCACAATCGCCCGCTGATTCTTTATCGTTGTCCCATCAGAGAGGTTTAGTTCCCTTGCAATATCAGTGAAACCCTGAAACAGCTTCTCAGTACTACTAGCCGAAACCCAAAAGATAGCACGGAACATTTTCTTGCTCCTGTACACGAACTCCGTCGCAATTTGGGATTTGCCAATTCCTGCAAGACCATACAAAGCGAACGATTGTAGTCTCGGTGTAGCGTCCATAGCGGGAAATAATTGTTTAGAGATAGCCTGCAAGATATCACGTCGCCCAAAAAAACGGTTGTTCCGGGGATATATATTTAAGTAGATGGGTCGATCAAGCGTGCCTGAACTTCTGAGTCTGGTTGATACCTTGGCGGCTTCAAGCCCGCGATCTGCGGTAATTAGTGCTCTACGCCTATCAACTATCGCCGGGCTCGAAAAGGCGAAAACGGAACCATCTGCGAACTGAGAAGGTTGGTCTAAGGATACCTCGAGCTTGCTTTTTACTGGAATCATCTGAGAGTTACCACCTGGAGAAAGTTATTATCATTTAGAACTGTTAGTAGGGGTTTATTGGTACGTAGTGGACATACATACACCTTGATTGGGGCCGAACACATGTCTTTGGCTCCTGTACCGGGAGAGATCTTATCAACTCTTTTGCATATGCAGCAGCTGCAGCCGCAGCATAGGGGCCCCAACGATCATTTTTATGAGAATCCGAATAGTCACTGATTCCCCGAATGACTAGGCAGTCCAGTCCATTCATCAAGCCAGCAGCTTCCATTTCGAAACATAAAATCCCGTACCGCTGTTGAATTGTATCCCGCTCCACAGCATCCTTTATGACCACGTCTCCAGAAGCAATAAGGCCGTAATGAACAACCGGGTCGAGGTTACCACGTGAGGGTCGGTGTTTTGTCTTGGTCAGGTCACATTCGTCACAATGTCCCTTGCCGCTAGCATGGGAGTATTCTGCAACGAATAGCCGATCAAGCTCCTCGCCTTGGTACTCAAAGATCTCTCCGAGCTTCTGGTGCTGCTGTATCATACTAGCCAGATGATAGGGCAAGGAGGATTCATGTAGCCGGTGTTGTGATTTGAGATACGCCACCGCATTCAGTAACATTTGGGGTGGTTTATTCAAAAAGCCTGTGCACTGGAATCCCTCGCCGTCTATTATCTTTCCGAACCGGTAGTTTAGGACACCACCATGCCCATCAGAAGGCTGGCTAACCACAACATCTCCAAGTCGGATATCATGGTCATCACTCGGAGCTCCTCCCCCGATTCCCACCACGAGAGTAAATTTCAGAGCCGAGAAGGTCCGTTGCATTTGTTCGGCCACTCTTGTTGCTGATGTGGTGCCATGTAGACCGGCAGGGAGACATGCGATGACAGTATAATACGATGCGATTCGGCCAACGGTGTATATGTTATCGTCGCTGGGTGGCTGCGGGGGGCATGGGTAACGTTCATCCAGCATCGCTTCAGCCACCACCAATTCATCTTGAAGGGCACAGATCCACCCTATCGTGTAGTCGGTTGTAGCTGGAGTATTGCCCGAAGCCATTTCTGAGCGATCCGCTGTATTTTCAAGACTGGATTTGAAGAGTGCTTGGAATATGAGGGGTTGAAGAAGGATTCTGGGGTTTAGTCTACGTTGAGAGAATCTAAATCCCACTATGCGCAATGTAGATGGAAGTCATGGAGGGGAGGAGGTGGGGATCACATTGTCATCAATATTAAGACGGCAACCCTTTTCAGATTAAGAGGAAATCAGACTGGCAGAAAATCTAAGGCTGTGCTTGAAACTTCACAGTCCATAATCCGAGCCGCATCATCAGCCAATCAATTTTTATGACCGTGCACAGAGTGAGCCACGTTGGAGTGGGGAGTACACTTATACTGGCTACCCCACTTGGCGATTTCAAATTGAGACGGATGCGTTTTGGTGAAGCGATCAGTAAGAACGAATCAGAGAATCTAAACCGTCATCTTGGGGGCCCGAGAGCCAAATCCATTTATCCTGGTCTTCGACTGCACAATATCCTAACAAAAGCAGCCACGGTGTGGGGGCCTACAGCCCCTACACCTAATCCCCGCCAGCAATCTGGATAGGACCTTATCGTACCATGTATGGAATGTACTTTGTCCTTGCAATCTTCGCCATAAGCCGCCAAATCCATCCACTAGTTATTATTTGAATCTATAGCTAGAAATTTCACAATCACTGAGAGAAAAAAAAAAAAAGAAAAAAAAGAAAAATAGTTACCGACGCTTTGGTAAAGAGCCGAAACCTAGTCCATGTATTGAAATGTCCAAAAGAAGAAGCCCTAGCCGCAAGAGCCTAGAGAATGTTTTCCTGAAGTAAGACACGTTGATTCGACGGTATTTGTCCCGTAGAATCCCGGGGAGCATCGTTGGTCTCGGTTACTTTTAAATCAAAAGCAGTGCGCCCAACATATACCGACTTTGAGAGGTTCGCAGCTTCCATAGTATTCTTTATAAAGGAGGTAAAGGCAGCATCGGTACCTCTAGCTCCTACAAGCCCAAGGGCTACCGGGAGCCACTCCTCTCTCTGTGTCACTCGAGAGTGATAGGACGTTTGGCCAACTATCGAGCATTAGTCGCTAACTACGGACTACTGCACTAGAAATGTGACGTACTGGGTAATATGACCTCAGGGGCTCCTGCGTAAACAGAAATGAAATAGAAAAACCAGCCTTCGCCAGTCCAAGATGGGCGTCTGCAGGCCAATCAGCGAAGGTTAAGAGAGAGAGAGAGAGAGAAGTGGAATGCTTACTCTCGATATTCGTCTCTAAAACTGGGTTCCCCTTTTGTCCATGGCAGGACCAAGATGCTTTCAGAGCAGCCATTTTCGTCGGCTAACATCACATTCTGTTCAAACCATCTCCGGAAGATTTCAATCTCCTTTTGCCCCCGTTTCTGCGACTCCAGTGTCTGCTTTGGCAAAAACTCCCTTTCGCAGTGTTAGAATATCGTCGCAGCCAATTAGTTGATAAAGAAAAGAGGCAAACCACATTTTCCATTGTAATTGGGGATTTACTGGAGGAGAATGGCCAAACACGCTGCTATATTCCGAGTGGAAGTTCTTGAGCATTCTCCATTGATCTGGAGCGGATGCAGAGACAAAGGTCGTTTTGAAGTAATCATCGATAGAAACGTCCGTTCCAACCGGATTTGTTTCCGCCCAGAGTCCGCTTAGACTAATACTGGTTCGCTTCGTGCCAATAGCATTCTCGAGCTTTCCGATAACGCTTTCAAACACAGCGGAACTCGCCATATCTTCAACTGGCCAGTATTCGTTGGGGTATATAATTCGTGTGGGCTTCTGTTGAAGTGTGAGCAGGAATGTGCAAGTGCATACTTCAATTATCTTACCTTGAAACAGGAGTGGATCTCTGCATGTTGGTTATAAAGCACCGAAGAGGCAGCTGTAAGAGTTTCGATATTTCTCGTGAATATCCCAAATGTATCGAAATTTTTGGAGAATGGGATGACGCCTTTGTTGTCGATTGCATCTGTGGATGGCCTGATCGCAAATAGTCCATGAACAGCGGCTGGAGCCCGAACACTGCCGCTGCCTACCGTGGTGTATTCAGTGAGAAATTAATCCAATTAGTATGCCTGATAAGTGGAACACTACTTACAATCAGTGCCAGTAGACAAATCTAGCCAGTCATAGGCAGCCACCGCTGCACCGCTGCCTGAGCTACTTGCACTTGGAGTTTGATATCCATCTGCTCGAGGATTCCACGGCGCATGGTAGTCCACCCAGTCGCCAGTGGCCCATTCACTCTCTCCAAACTGGGTCGACTTCAATTTGCCAATCACGATGGCCCCATGATCTAGCAAGCGTTGAACTCCAGTGGCACTTTTATCTCGAGGCCCATAGAGTCGAGCATATGCACGCGATGATCCTGTGGTTTTGATCCCCCGTACATCTTGTGTGTCTTTCACTGCGATTCGCAGTCCTGCCAATGGTTTTTCCTCGGTGGGTGCATAGTAAAAGCGTGAAGGAACACCGATAGTCAACGCTAGTGGATGTTCTTCCGTGAATACAGATATGTTGAGTGAATTGTACCTGTTGAAACAAGTCAACAGAGTTAGAGATATTCGAATAACATTTCCACTTACAGATATGGATCACTTGGTGACTGAATTGTTGCGCTCATGAATGCTCCCGCTGTATCAGGATATAACCTGTGCACTTTGTGCAGCTGACCAGCATTACAGAAATAAGGAGCAAAGTGCAAGTCTAGAGATTCCGGGTTGTCTGCGGATAAAACTTGGCTGCCCCAAGTATCAAGTGTCTGCTGCGCCGCAGGGCTGATCTGGAACGTTCGGTAAGGGGGCTGGGGAAGAAAGATGATGTAGCGTAGAAAGCTGTATGTCCATACATCATCTTTGGAAAGCTTCCTTCGGATCTCAATGAGATACTCTGGGGTGATCGGAACATCGGTGGCGCGAATGACGGTACAGGGGCCTGAAACAGGCACGCTCTCGGAAAACCTGCGCGTATCCTAACAGAGTCATAAAGTTACCCAGTGTCCCTTCCCTCGCACGGTAAATGAAAGCGATGGATTATCTACCTTGGATGATGGGGACACGAAATAAGTGGCTTCATCAAGAGTGAAAACAGATGGAGGCTGCTGAACGACGAGGTTCATCTGGTCCGGTTTTCCCAGAACGGCGACGCCTAGGCAGAAGAGGGAGAGTGTAAGAATGAGCAAAAGACCAGCTGAGCGAGCGCTTTCTAACGGTGCCATATTCAAAGCTCCCAAACGACTAAACTAGCTCACCTCCAACGCAGATATGTATATATATATGTATATATATATATATATACTTGGTTGGCTTTTACCTAGGATCAGGTAGTAGCTAGTTTAGGGAATGTAGCCAGGTAAGTTTGTAGTAAGTGGTGGTGGTCACATGATGATGCTCACGAACCTTGGAACCTTGGCACGGATGGGGCCGCGAAAGACCGGGAAAGACCCACAAAGACCCGCCCGCGCCGACTGTTGAGAATGCTTATTTTAACGTGTTTTGATACTTTGGTAGGATATTGGTATAGTATAGAGACGGGAGCACTGTTACTAGATTAGGCTATGTACTGCGCAAAAACCAATAATATATATATATACATATATATATACTAGCGCAGACTCCACTGGGCTCGGGGCCGAGGCACTAACTACCAGGGCACACTACACTGTGTCGTAAAATTAACTCAGTTGGCACTTACTGCGTAGTTAGTTGCCGGAAGCCTGCCTGGACCGTTCGTTGGATTGCCTGCTGATTCCAGTCGAAGTGGGGAGTCTCTATGGGCGGGGAAAACACAAGGCTAAAAATGCGCCCACTTTTAAATACTGAGTAGTTACCTACCATCTGTTGTTTCATTTCTTTGCTCTGGTAGAATAGTTATTGCTTGCCAGTACGATTACAGACTGACACCAACGCTGCTCCGCAACCATTCGAAAATATCCCCCCCACCAGCAACAAACCCAAAGAGATCGCTTGCTTGCTCCTACGTATTGCTATGTCTACAAATCCAAATCCAAGAACGGGCACGTCTTTGCCAGCTCTGGTCCAGCTCACCGTAAAGACCGACCCGTGGGATATTGACGGCAAGCCTGAACTGGGCCCTTCCCACCAACCCTGGAGAGCATACTGGCCACCAGATATCACCGCTGTCAGTGAACGGGAGTTATCTGCTAAGCCATGGCTTACATGGAAACATGATCCCATGAAGATGAACAATAAGCCCTGGTATGACTGGGTCCGCCCAGACTTGGATCCAGAACCATCAGACGGGTGGTGCCCCCCGGAATGTGTATATTGCGGCGGAAGAGGCTGTGTAAGATCTTTTCTTTCTATTACTTCACATTGGCGAAACAATCTTGTTTGGCGAAACATCCTTTGAGCGTCTAATAATATAATTATAGGGTCCCCGCTCGACTGGTGCTGAAGGGGCTTAGGAACGGTTTATTATACGAGGGAATGGTCAGAGGCTTCAAGCTCGTTCAATTGATATTGCGTTTTGTCTTTTATGTTTGTTATTACCTACATATACGCACCCCCAGAAACTGAACAGGATAGTTGGTACCTTGCACTTGCACGTACACTACGATTGGAAGAATCGTTGTCCGTAATTCAATGAAGAGAGAGACACTCCTTGAAATACAATATACGAAAAACCCCTGAATTCCTCAACTCAACCCTTTTTCAGTCATTGGCCTCATTCATTTTTGTAGAAGACGTATGTCCTGACTTCAATACTTTCTCTAAAGAACGGGTTTTCCGGATCACGATTCGGATATAGAAACGATACATGCGGAGCATCTTTGCAGCCGTTAGCTCATATCATCTTAGGAGTCCGCTTAATACTAACATTGCGCAACTTTATCATTTATGATAGCCTCGGAATCAAAACACTTGAATATTAAGGCTTCGGTTGCGAGCTGTCCCTCCATGTAATACCATCGGTGTTTGGGATTAGCCCAGAAATTGTAAGTCTCTCCTAGGTAATCAGGGAAGACAATATCTGTCGGCACTCGATCCTCTGGTGCCACAGTACGATAGTCACACAGGGCGAGCGGTGCATCCTCGACTGGACCAACTAGCGGCTTCCAAAAGCTGAGTATAATTAGTGAGTCGGACAAGGAGCCAATAGATGAAACACTTGGAGGTGGAGGACACTAAATGACCTACTTCAGTATTTGGATCCGACACCCGCGATACCTTTCTGCCAAGTCAGGATGAAAATGGCCCAGTCTTCGCATTGCGGCCCTAGCACTCTCATCTGTAGATGTTTTGTTGATTAGAGACCAATATTGGTATAGGATATGGAAACCTTACCACAATGAACCGATCTGAATGGCTGTGCTTTCCCTGGTTGGCCCCTATGATTGGGAGGTAAGGTTGGATCTCTTCGCCGAACCTGTGACATTCAGTCAAAAGCTGGTCAAAACAGGGGAAGTTTGGGATGCTGAAGCTAAGGCAGCAAGTACTTGATAATCCCAAGCCAGGACATAGTCTGCATTCAACTCTGTGGTCAAAAAGTTTTCTACCTCCTTGAGGAAAGTTCCCTCAATTGCCGCAGGGGAAGCGAAACTCTGGTAGTCAACTGTTGTCTCAAAATCTTTGTACTGAAACCCGGTGGTGTCAAGAGTGAAGAGATCTTCGTGGCCACGAACATCGGTGATGCAAACTTCACGACGGCAGTAAATAACGTTTGATTGTCGCTGTCCGGGTTCAGATGGAGGAAAGTTGAGAAAAAAAGGTTTCTCTTTTTCATACAGAGGTAGACGCTCGGTGTAGAATATTAGGGAAACAAGCTGGGAAGGATTGAACTTATCGATTTCGGCTTGTTCCACCGGTGGTTTCGACGATAGCTCAAATTCTTTGGAAACGCCAGCCATGTTTTTTTATGTTGGTAGTGATAACCAAGCTCATCAAGGAATTGGGTTCAAGATATGTACTGTAGTTACTGGTATAGCGGTGCACCTGGCTACTTAACAGAGTAGAGAAGTGACCTCAACTTTCACTATAAAGCAGGCCAGGCAGAGAGCGTCCCATATCGTGATTACAACCCCGCATCATCAGAAAGCGCGCCGGTGGTTTTCAAGAAAAACACATTCCATGGCATCCCAGAGAGGGTGAGGGGGTGACCAATAGTGAAACGTTAGTACATTACATGTGGTTACTTGTATTTATCAGATTCCTCGCAAGTCCTGGTTCATGCATTGCACTCACCTCAGGGTAGTTGGCTATCATGAATCCCCCCCAATCAGCTAGCCAGCCAAATTGGACAAAGACACCCTCTCTAGCATGCTCGAAATCTAAAATAACTGTCCTCCCTGTCACGTAATTAGACAAGAGCAAGGGGCATCCATACCATGCTAGCTTGGCAGAGGTACAGTACATGTACATGTATGTACATGTACATTCTGATCCCTCACTCTGGGTTAGAGACGAGTTAATTGAAAGGTAATGAAGGACCTGAGAAATATAGAAAATCACCATCATTGAGATATAAAAGATGTGTAGTTGGGCCTCCTGGTGTGTGTATGGAGGAGATGTGCGGAGTGAGTATATGAAGGGCTAATGGGGTTGAATAACTTGTGGAATCATCAGTGTCGCCCTAAACCACGCTCCTTTTACGCTTTACTTCCACTCTGTACAGTAGGTACCTTTCATCATATGTCATTTGAGAGTATTTCGAGAGGCTCATGGGCAGCTGCAGCCCGTCACTAGATATTGATTTAATTTAGGTTAATGTCACAAAAATATTAGCTACTCACAGAGATGAAATATTAGACAGAATGTAAATGAATGGTAGAAGTCAGGAGAGTGTTGTTCCAGGCCTTTCAAAAGATATAAACACGTATGTGGAAAACCGGAAACAACACCATGGAAGAGCGGCAAAGTGTGCTTTTTTTTTTTTTTTTTCCCCAAGAGATCAGATGAGAAGCAACGAAGTGAAAGGTGCTACCTCTAAAATATCTAACCTATGAAAAATACCTTGCATAGTTATTTAAGTTCACTGTCATAATGAACTTTCAAAGCTGCAAAAATTAAAAAAAGGAGGGAAAGAAAATAAGATAATATTGATTAGCCACACATTCCGTAAACAGTATATTAATCGCTGGAATAAAGAAGGCAGATGAAAGGTAGAGGAGATGAAACAGGACCATAACTTACTTGTTGGAAGCACGGAATAGCCACCATAGTCCTGTCGCATATAGGCGAAATGCCCGCCAGGACGGCTAACTTTCACCAGCTGACCTTGAGCACCTGGTGCGGGACGTAGGTTATCCAGACGCCCAACAACACGCAGCATGGACGCTAGTGCCACCATCTGTGCATCTCTTCCGAAACAAGTAAATGCGCCATCGGTGTAGTGGATGTAGGATTCTAGAGGCCGGTCGAGAACGACTTTATCGGGTGTTGGGAATATGTTGGGGTCCCTAGCAGAAGAAATCTATAAAATAGAGGTAAGCGCGGGTTACATGGAATTTTAGTGCTTCAGGATGTGAGTTAAGTGGGGTTCTTACCATGCTCACGAAAACTTTATCTCCATCATTGATGGAAACCTCACGACCACCGTCATTGATCAAGACGTTTGCATTTGCTTCGCGGAATGATCCGAATGTCCCACTAAGCCGAAGCCCTTCCATACAGAAATGTAGAAGTTTTGTGTCGGATTCTAAGGAGTCTTCCTTTGCTAGGCGGTTGATATCAGAGAGGTGTACTTTGCCCTCATTTGATAAGTAATAGCCCAGGATTTGAGTGAACTTTTTTAGAAGTTAGCTTTCTACTTTTCACAGGAATCATATTTTTACGAGAAGGAGAACGGTAACACTTACAGCTTGAGCTTGACTTGGAACCGATGTACAGATAATGGGAAGGATATGCGACAAAGCCACCTGCGAAACGCCGAGGCCACTCTTCAGAAGTTTACGGGTTGCATCGGCACCGTATTTAGCCAGCGTATTGCCACCTTTTTGGAACTTATCAGCAATACCAGAGAACGGTTTAGGCCTCTTAACAGATTTGACGTATGATTCCACGATCTGGCCAAGCTTTTCACCGACTTCCCGAGCCACCTGCCGCAGAGGGTAAGTTTTTGTAGGGTCTATATCAGAGAATACGCTGGTGAAAAGCGCCACCATTACCATGAACATTTCATGGTCCGTGAATATACCCTCGGGATTATCCTTAGTTTTGATTGAAAGGTCGAAAGTGCTCGCGGCGAAGTGGACGTGCGCGAGATTACCCAGACTAGAAATCGTTAGTCCAACAAGTACTCTGAGAGGCACGGGCGGACTTACTCCCGAGTGATATCAATCTGGTTAATTCCAGCGATTTTGACTGAATTTTGCTTCAGCAGCTCTTGGGTAATATCCTTGTAGAATGTCTTCACAGTCTCGCGCCATGAGTCTTGAGCAAAGACTTCATCCATGGCTTTGGTTTGCGTCTCATTAAAGCTCTTACTTCCGGGAAGTGAGCCAAAGGCCCCCTCCCAAGTGACCCTGAAATCTTTCGCATTTTGCAGAATTGCTCTTGCGCCATTGTAGGACGTGAGATCAATTCGAGGGGGCTGCAACGCGGGACGATCCCAAGAATAATGACTTTCTCTGCCTAGCTTGGTAAAAATTTCTTTGTTTACGCTGGGAACTGTCATGGGATAGTGTGCATAGATCGAATCGGGTTTGAGATAATTCGGAAGGGCACGCAACATCAACTTGTAGAACATACATCCCTCGTTGATGCTAAGATCATAGTGAGTCTCAGCATAGCCCCAGTTCGTTAAGTTTTTAGCGTTGTAGTCGCTCTATGAACGGTCAGTCGCGGTTGCCAGGGGTAATACGGGGTAAGACTTTAATCAGAAATAAAAGGGGGCATAGGGGAACATACGGTGTAGAATCTGTCTCCACGCACAAGCGCGACCGCGTCTGAAAGAACTGCTCTGGAGATAGTATAAGTTGGACAGATTCCGGCGCCAGGGACCATAGGAATCTTTGGCTCCTCTGAAACAATGCCTGGGTAAAGCTCGACATAATCGGGATGCTCGTACAAATTCCGAAGTTGGCCGGCTATTTCGGGGTCGGAGTTGATTTCCTCAAATGTTTCGTACTCCTTCAAGCCAAAGAACTTCCGGAACTCATTCAAAGAGCCACAGCCAAATTTTCGCGCCTGCTGAATTCCCAATATTTCGACCGCTCGAAGGGCCTTGGGAACGTTACGCGGACCAAAAGTTCCTGCATACTCATTAGCAAATTATGACTTGAAGCACTTGTGGGCATGCTCACCTGCAACTTCCTCAGTCGCCTCAGTCATAATTCTAGCTAAATCTTCGTCCCTAAATCGCCCGTCTGCTTGCCGCTCAAGCTTGGCAAATGTTCTCTCAGAAGGATCTCCGGGAAGGAGCTGTTGCCATTTGCTCATTCCGGCCATCAGCTCTGGCATCGAAATTTGTTCCGCGCTTTTGCCAAAGAAATCCTGGTAAATTTCGTCGATCCATTTCTCATCAAGTTGGCCAATGCATGAATGCCACCGATAGGCAAGGTTAAACTCAAAGGACACCTGATTTCCAACGCCGCTTTCGGCAGATTCTGGGGCCGCAGTTTTCTTCGTGTCAATTCTCGGGTCCTAAGAAATCAATGTTAGCACGCATACCTAGCCCTGCGATAGCATTCGACGTACCAAGCTCCAGGTTGTGTTGCTTCGTGTAAGGTTGATTATGGTCCGCACATAATCGTATAAGGTGATATTCATGTAAAGACCACAAGTTATACTGTATCTCATGTTAGGATGAAGCACACTACGTACTATAATAAATACCAACTTACAGTCTCCCTGTCTGGAACAAGTCATTGTCATATTTGGCCCATGCTTTTGCCGATTGTTCAGGTGACAAGTAATCAGGGGGTTTAGTAAACCGTCCATTTTCGTTAATCAACGCTAGCTGTTCGACAACGTAATTGTGGAACCTGGAGAAAAGTTAAGCTTTTGAACTAAAGTAAAAATATCAAGCCCAAAGCATAAATTGAAAGGGTTTGACATAAGCAGGGCATCCAATTTGCTTACCGGTTCAGCATAACCAAAATGACACTGCAAGCAGGTGGAAGCGCGATTAGCCTAGCGTCTGAAAATGAATCGACCTTGAGCTTCCCACCCTCGAAAGTGCGGATTTGATCCTGCTCATCTTGATTATCTCCGTAAAGCGTGGAAAGATCGAGATACGAAGAAGTTTTTGAGATGTGTTGATTCCGAGGATCGGTCTGGAAAAGGTCTTTAAACCATTTAGCACGTTCCCACCAACATAGTCCCATATCACCTTACCGTGGATTATCAACGATGCCCAGCTGAAAAATATGCTAGAAACCCCGTTAGGATGAGGTTTAAATTCCTGGCGAGCGAAAAGACTATCGAAGATCAACCCCGGATCGGGCAGTGCAGCAGGCTGGATTGTTATAGGCCTGATGGAGCGAGCATAAGGTGTATTGGCAGCTCCTAGACGAGGAAACATTGGGTTGTTATTAGATCCATCTGCAGCTCTGTAGCGATACTCATCGCCAAGGTATCTGAAACGGAAATTCATTAATGAGAGGCACTATGTCTGTGGTATCGAGGATCCTTACGTGAGGGGTGGATGAGGAAGAGAGACCCAGAGTGATTTAACAAAGGTCTGGGTGAGCTGCATTCGGGCTGATGATTCCGCAGGAAGATTGGCCACGAGCTGAGGAGAAAAATGTTCAGTCTTTGACTTTCAATGTGTTTGTTGACTTGGTCATACTTGAATGATCCGTTCCATAAGATATTCCTTGTCATCGGTGGGTTTCCCAGAAGCTTTGCTCTTGACCACTGCTAGCAGAGTGCGTACGCCCTTCCAGCCCATCCACTTCACCTCTTGCAATTTGGTGCTGGCTACGGCTTTCTTCATGTGGAAGTGGTCGCCACTGAATTCAGCATATTTTGCAAACGTGTTCTCGATTTCCTCTCGTTCGACGCGGCGCCCTTTGCTACGTTTTGCGAGGGGAGGGGGCGCACCCGCTGGTTTGCCATTCACCTGTCCATTTTTCTCGCCATTCGTTAAAGTCCCAGCAACACCTGGTTTCGCCATTTGTGCCGAGCGTGAAAGCAATCTCCGATAGACAAGAAATATATAGAAGAAAAATAACCAATTCAGTGAATTGTGGGAACCATGAAGTGCGTGAAATTTAAACACAAACAATAATCGGTTGAAAAATTCACGTTCTGGTGCAACGGTTTATCCTAAATAAAGGGCCTCCGAAAATCCGCCCGGGTCTTGCAGAGCTCGCCATCCGGTGTTGATGTGCCCATCAAGGCTAAGAGGCGCCCGATCTATGCAGACTCTGCAGAGCTCCAGCTTGCTCAGAGTGTGCCACATCATGGCGTGGGCTGTATCAAGCGCTAGACCAGTGATGGACGGGGGTAACAAAGGCAATTTTATCTTCGTGCCCGGGTAACGGCCACCCATCTATCGGCATTTTAAGTTTCGGAGGTAGACGTTTGCCCAAAAATGAGCTCGGTTGGACAAATGAAACAGAAGAAACTCCGGTTGGATCATTGCGATCAATACGGAGTATAGCTCGGTGAAACTTCGAAGTGTGGTTGATCAATGGCAGGATCCTGATGTCTGACGAATGAAGAGAGCAGCCGTGAGAGCCTGAGAGGTTGACAAGCAACTATCGTCCAACCAGCGGAGTGTCCAAGCAAATAATGCGAGATGAGCTTGCACTCCCTGTGGAGATTGCTGTGCAAGAGCGGCATACTATGCACGCGCCACTATTGGGCATATTTTGAATCCTGTGATATCTGGCCGTGGATTGGAGAGAGAGGAAACCAGACGTGCATTTGGATCCCAAACGCGGGGATTCTACCCTTGGATTCCTATCCTGGAATGCGGATGATTGGTGCTGTTCAGCTCACGTCGCGATGTTGGAAACCACAAACACTGGTGGAATCAGTTATCAATCACCTGACTTGGGCTCCAGCAGCCTTCCAAGGTTCCAAGTTCCCCTTCCAAGGTTTTGTCCTTCACACACACATACACACACACACACACTACTCCGTACAGCGTACACGCACATCTTTCATTTTCATTAATATTAAATATTATTCTTGTTGCGAACTCGATTGCGATGATTCGCCATGCACTATCGGTGTTAGCTCCTGGGTTACTGTTGATCAGCAGCGGGGGCGGTGGGTAACGTGGATGGGATCTGACTGAAGAACCCGCCCCAAAAAATTACGGATAACTACACAGTAACTACACTGATGATGCTCCCTCAGACGAACTCAACAGCGCAAGGCCCTGCTCTCGACTCGTGTCTCAATACGGATTGCGGCAGGAAATGCCTAGTCATCAAATCCATTTTCATGAATTTCGGTTTGGGCCTTTGTCCCACCATGCTTGTTGCTAATACAGCTATTACCATTTCCCTCTGCCTTTGTAGGGGGTAATCGCCAATCGCCAAACATACGCTGTAAATCAGGGTGGGTGCTGTGCGCTTCGCAAAGGGCATTTTTCTGTGGCATTTCAGCTCATGATTGCGAGCCGGGATTGCTTTTTCAGCTAGCCAATGTCATTGACTCGCGCAATTCCCACACGACGAACTGGGCGTTGAACACAATGTGGCTGATCTATTGCCAGAAACATTCAAATGACCCCAGAAGCTTAACCAATTGGGAATTCTATAGACTGGAAGCTCAAACCTTATTCTGGGAAGGTGTATTTTTATGCCGGAGCCCATTTTCGGTCTAACACGCCTGTCAGGCTGACCAATGTTGTGATTCCTGGATCTCACGCTAAGCTGCGGCCAGGGAAGGGTAAACTTGGCCTGGCGAGCTCAGGCCTGTGCGACCCTGTATGTGCTTCCAGTTTTTGCATCCCTCGATGACATTCAAATGGTGACGATCGACTGATGTTCAATTGATTATTGTTGTGCTTGTTCCCACGCTCCACTCACACTTCGCGCCCTCTGACCGCGAACAAAAGCTACATTCTATCATCCCGACTGATTACATTATCGAAGAGTCCGAAACCAATTTCGCCCATAGCGGTAAATTGCAACTATTCCAAACTAATTCATCACAAAACCCCTGAAATTCTGCACGGTCTCACTACCCTTGGAAAACGCGCTTGATACCTAGTGAAATCCCCATCCGCTTGTCCTTTTTGCTCTTTTCAAACTGCAAGCGTTCGCAATATTGATTACAGTCGTTATTTAAAAATCGTCCCTATGTCACATTACGCCTTGGATCTTCCGAAAACATTTGTGCTTTGCTTTGATGGCACCGGTAATAAATTTACTGGTGACGAATCAGACAGTAATGTTCTCAAAATCTTTCGAGTCAGTGACCAATATTAAACCATCCATATATGACTTAAATCTGGTATTTTCGGCGCTGACAATAGACCACAGATGCTAGATAGAAATCAGGGACAACAATTCCACTATTATCAACCCGGAATTGGGACATATGTGACGTCTACGAAGGTCCCGAGTCATGCTGGCACGTTTTCGCGCATCAAGCGAAGCTGGATAAAAGCGAAAGATGCGGCTATTGGCTCATCGTTTGATCACCACGTGCTCGCTGGCTATCGATTTCTTATGCGATACTATTCTCCTGGCGATGAAATATTCTTTTTCGGATTTAGCCGTGGGGCATATATCGCGCGCTTTCTTGCTGAGATGCTAGACTATGTTGGCCTTCTGACTATAGGAAATGAAGAGCTCGTCTTATTTGCTTGGAAAACGTTTTCAAAATGGCAACAGCGGACAGGAACAAGTGAGGCAGATATCAAAAAAAGGCACGATCTTTACAACTTCATGACAGCTTTTCGAGAAACCTTCAGCCGTCCGATCCAGCGAATTCGGTTCCTTGGGTTGTTTGACACTGTGAACAGCATTCCCAAGTTTGAGTCTCCATGGATGTCGCGGAACAGGTTCCCTTATACCGCGAGAAGCTCAGCCAAGATTATCAGGCATGCAGTTGGCATTGATGAAAGGCGTGCCAAATTCCGTCAAGATCTAATCTCACAAAGTCAACATTGCCACCACTCGCATTATAGGCGTCGATTTTCGTTTATTCCACGTAGATTCTTCCACGAAAGGAAGAATTTGCTAAAGGAAACGATTGAGGTAAATTCTAAGTCGGGCGCCGGAAAAAGTGAAACGAAAGTTATGGGCAATACCGACGCCAAACCCTCGAAACATCTGTCTGCAACAGGCTGGACCCAACCTCGGGAAGAGAACCGTTACCGCCCACTGTATCCTCGCCGTTCGATGCAAAATCTTAGAACATCGGCTCCCGATAACCATAATTTCTCTACTGATGGTGCAAGTTGCGCTGATAGTATCGTTAATCTCCCACTACAGACTCAACACATTACTGACGACAGATCCGTTCAATCAGATCAGACTGTCCAGGATATTGAGGAAGTTTGGTTCCCTGGCTGCCATGCTGATATCGGTGGTGGTTGGGGACTGATGCCAAGCGAGAAGTGGCCACTCAGCCATGCACCCCTTGTCTGGATGGTTCACGAAGCGCAGCGCGCCGGACTACAATTCGACGAGCGCAAACTGAAAAAATTCGAATGCGCCATAGAATTCTCAGGCGACTATTCGCCCATTCATAAATCGTGGAGCCCTGATCAAGACAAACGACCGAATCCACCGGATATTGTAATTAACGGCGTGGATGACTTAGGTATCCAAGATGCTCCTCAGGATAATCCAGCAAACTCCCCATCCTCGAGGAGCTTTTATGATGCTTTAAATTACTCTGGAACTCAAGGCCACATCCACGACTCTTTGGATTTTAAATCTGGCCTATCAGCCATGTCGGTATTAGCGTGGAACATGATGGAGTATCTCCCCTTCAAAAGGATGGACCTACAACAGGACGGCTCCTGGGCCCCAATCCGTTGGCCTCTGCCCTGTGGAGAGGTGCGTGACATTCCGGTAGATGCGAAAATTCATAACACCGCCATACAACGGCTGAAGGCGAATGAAAACTACCGTCCGGGTAATCTGATCATTGGTGGCGGTGGCCGCGGAGTCAGGATAGCCCCAAAGGATATGGGCGTTGGGGAGTGGGTTATTTCAGGCCACGAAGGAGACCAAGTCAGGGAAACATATGTAAGAGCAAATATATCAACATGCGCGTCAGAGAAACACAGGAAGCAGAAAACGGGAGCACCCAAAAATGGAACTGAGAATAACGGGCCTGAGAAAAACGGAACACAGACAAATGGAACCTAGATCACAGACGTATGATTTTCTTGCTTTCACATTTTAGAAGACCATTTTCCTGGCCTTCAATTTCGTCTGTGTTTGGATGCCAGAACCAGTCAGCGTCAGCATGTGTTGGGATTAGGTCTAGTTTAACAATCTAATCTGCTACAGCTTCTCTTTCGAGATGGTTAGATGGCACTGCTCCTAATGGAGATGTTTGATGTTTATACCGAGTACATGTACTTCACCAAAGCCAGCGCTTGTATTTACCTTCTGTTTGGTTTCGATTACTTTACTCCCGCACCCCCTTCGCCTGTTTTCCCAATACCCAACGGCAAGTTACTCTCGATTATTTTCTAGTTTGACAGTTCAATTTTGGCTTTCATTCCCTGTTTATTCTATCATTAGCGTATACCGTGTAAGTGATGTTTTTTGCCGCCAGGTTGTCTTTCTGCCGTTTCTTATTAGCTCTCTCTAATGGTAGGATGGACTGACTGTTAAGCAGATTCAACTTTAGGCTTTCACATTAGCATGCTCCGCCTGCGTTTCCATTCTACCTACCAATAATAAGCAAATGACTCCTGGCGGCCTTGTCCAAACCACCCCCTACAGCGTAGTTGGCCAATAATAGTCATCAGAGCTGAAGTTTTTTAAATAAACCCTCAAGCAAGCTACAGAAATTTCCCCCTCTTACTCTATGACGGAATGGTCCACGTAGATTATTGGCTGTCATTTTCATGTCCCTGAATTTAATTACAAATAGTAAGAATATATTCTGTTGCTCCTGCATACTGGGATGACCAAAACAGTGACAGCTGCCGCTGAAGGGCATCAATAAAAGCATCTGATAGGTGGAGGAGGTTTAAATATAGCCAGTGGCCATATGTATAGGTAGCTTACCCGGAGTGGATTGCGTTAGGTGATAAGATGCTAGGAATTGTCGGGAATTGTCGAATAGCCCGGCTATAACCATGATATAATAATTATCAAGATGGGAAGGAAAGGTTAGCAAACCACCAAAATATATAGATTATCGGAAATTAAGACAAAAGGTAGGGAGAACCTTGATTTGACAACCCAAATTCTCTTAGCATAAAAAAGCAAGTCTTCTCGTACGAGTTGAAGCCCGGGTTGATATTTAACAATCTCAAAAACTTTGAGACGAATGTCGATATCATTTCTTAGCATTAATCGTAGAACAATAAACAAAAATAACAAACAAGCTTCCTCGGGAATAAATACAGGTTGCGAAAATAAGCAGAAGAAGGCTTAATTAAGCAAGTTAATTAAAAAAAAGAGGAAATTAAACGTCAAGCTCCAACCCTGATTCGAACAAGGGACATTGCGATAAAGTGCGTAACTGCAATCGCACGCTCTAACCGCTGAGCTACTGGAGCTGTTGTTTGATTACTTCGCAACACCCAAGGTATTTCCGGGAAGGCTTAACTAGCCGAGGCTTCCTCAGCGGTTAGTCCGAATCAGGAAATTGAGCATAATTCCTTCATCGTCGCCTGGCATTCTCTGCTTTGAACGTCGAATTGTCATTCACCCGTGCGAAAAGGCTCTCTGATTTTGCTGGACATGCTTAGAGGCGCTGAATTATTGGATATTTCGCAGTGAGTCAATAGCTTCGAGCAATTGTTCTGAGGCCAACTCATTGAAACAAGGGCTTACTTATTTCGAAGGCTCGTCAATTCTCTCCGTCACCATTTGTTGTTTGCATGAGCATTTAAACATTCTATTTTCAACAGGGCGCCATTTGCGCATTTTTCAGATGGCAGGGAATCTCTTCCTGCTCCTGGACTGGGTGTGTACAGTACAATGAAAATCATTGGAGACCATGACCTTCCAACTCCCAGCATCAATGGAGTATTTGGGCGTTCCGCAACGAGGTCCCAATCCGCAATGGAATTAGCACCTGGATTCTACAATTCCATCGACCTTTGACACAAAAAGATATTGTCTGGTCTCATAAGAAATTTAGCAACAGACCCAACTTCCATTGAGCGCCTAGAATCGCGGCTAAGGCTACAATAAAGCCTTGACCCTTTGAACCCGAGAAATACTCGTCGAAACACGCATCACCCTGAGGGTATCATGGCACTCGTGTGAGGCAAGTAATATCCAAGATTACATTTCGCCGACAAGCCCAAGTTTCGAGAGGAAGAGCGCTGAACTGAACTTTGCAGGAGGGTGAGGCTTTGTTTCAGTCCAGATCCAAGTTACACCGTTTGCAAAATGGGAATGGACTGGGTACAGACAACTTCCCGCCTACCTCTACAAGGGTAGACTCGTGTTTTATCAGATGTCCCTCTTTCTCGCCCTTAAGAGATTTTGCTTTCCAGGGCAGGAATTCCTCCATTCCCGCAACTATGGCAATCAACTATCTTGGTAGACCGTTAATACGCCGCACGGGAGTTGGCTAAATACAACTTGGAACCTTTACGTTATGAATGGCCACACTATGAACGGAATTAAAAATCCTATTCAACCATGCATTTATTCAAATGGTTTTCACATCTGTGCCAATTAATATGGGAGGCAAAGTCTGAAACAGTTTCTCCATTGATTGCTACCTTCGGATGAACGAAGCAGAGGCAACAGCTAGAAACAAAGCCATTGACAGGAAATCAAACATTGTCCTCTCTATACAAAGGGTTTGTTTATGCTATTGTGCTAATTGTTTCCGCGTTACAAAATACATAGAGAATCCACGCCACTGAACACGACTTAATGGTGTCCATTGGTTCTCCACGTCGGCTATCCCAACCGACGCAGTTAGGATGGAACATTCCACTGATACAATTATCATTACTGTGAACTACTATTGTACAGTTTCATCGTTCATGGCGAAAGAATCATGGCCCCACTTCTAGGCTCAAGAGGGACCATATATATTGTCAATGCCTGCAATCTTAGGTGCTTCCTAGCGATACTTCCTCAAAATTATGCCTTGTTACTTATACGAACTCTATTTACGAGCCAAAATTCAGTTTAAATTGTTCATTCTCCTATCAGACTACAGTCAAAGAATTCGGTCATTTAGTCCATTTTGTACTTGAAAAACGCTTGTCAACATTCCCGCTTTCCGGAACTATCTCGAACCGCCTATACGATCATGATATATCGCGTTATTATTCTTATATTGGCCCTTCTCGGGAGCCGCGTTCACAGCCACATGCAAATGCTAAACCCGCTCCCAATTAGAAGTCCCTTAGACCCGGCTAATACTGGCGCATTAAGGGATGTCAATTATAAGAACCCTCTGTGGGCAAATGGATCAAATTATCCGTGCAAAGGATACTTAGATGAGCCTTTCCGGTCAGCTGCAGATTACAAAGCGGGAAGCGAATATGAAATGTTGATAGAGCAAAATACTGCTACCCATCTTGGGGGTTCATGCCAGCTCTCACTCTCCTACGACGAGGGGAAGTCGTTTAGGGTGATAAAGTCCATTATCGGCGGATGTCCCCTACCCTTTAAATACAAATTTGAGATTCCATCCAATGCGCCTTCTGGTAAGGCAGTATTTGCCTGGACTTGGTTTAACAGGATTGGGAATCGTGAAATGTACATGAATTGTGCCTGGGTGACCGTCTCTGGTGGTTCAGGGGACGGCTTCGATAGCCTCCCTGAGATTTTTAAGGCCAACGTTGATTCTCAGACGAAGTGCGGAACCAAAGAGGGGTTTGATATTGTGTTTCCAGAACCAGGATCGGTTGTTGAATACGGACCCGGGGGGAAAGGCCCGCCCAATAGGGGCATTGTTAATTGTCCTCATTCCGATGCCCCTGGACCGAAACCACAACCACCAGGAGAAGACCCTCAATCTCCCCCTATTGCTTCTACAGAACCTACACCGACTGGATCTTCACCTCCACCGTCCGCTGCAACGCCTGACGACGAACCTACCCCACTGCCGAACCCGACGCCAGATTCCGGAGGACAAACCCCCGAAGAGCCACCAGCGGCGGCTCCTGCTCCAGGAAACTCCGGAAGCTGTAGTGCAGGAAGTATAAAATGCGATTCGGAAACTACATGGTCCATGTGTTCCGGCTCTGGATCGCACTACATTCCCATGGGATCCGTGGCCGCAGGAACGGTGTGCAAAGACGGCAAAATTGGTCGTGCCTAAAGTGGCACAAAGTCAAGGAAGAGGAATTTGGGGCGGGAGTCTTTCACTTTCTGCGTCTTTGTTTTTATTTTGGACTTTTACTTACGTGGCCGAAATCTTCCACCGTCGGGCTCCGTGAAAGTCTCGCGGGAAACTTGAAACACCTCTTGGTTTGGTGTTGCAGGTTATTCGATATGCAACCCGAGGCTGTGTCTCGAGATCTTTGTTGTGGTTGTTGATATTACCCCATACTCTTGCCACTCTGCCTTACATTGGATGTCCTCTTGTCTGATTCCTTTTCCTTTCGGCTATATTAATTCCTTATTCCCTCCTCCCCCGGCCCCCTCTCTTTTTCCCATTTTTTTCTTTTTCTTTTTCTTTTTTCCCATTCGTTTATGTTATCTCTCTTTGTCCCTCTCGCGCGGTGTCCTAGTAGTATTTCTAGATTCTGCAATACATATCCTTTTGTTTCCCTTTGCTTCATGTAACGCATTTTAAGTTAGAGGGAGGAATGTTTCATCCTATCTGTTTCATGGGTAGCTCCTATTTTGCCTCACGGCTACCAGGCGCGATGTTTTTTATAAGTGTATGTATGTACATTATTTAGAGGCCACTCATTTTCCGTGATAGTAGCTATACAGATATATTTACTTTACTTTTCCGGCCTTAGACTTCTATTTACTTTTCTTTCGTCTGAACACTCTTCTTATCAACCAACCAACAAGTCCAACAACAAACACGTCAAGAGTCAAAACCAGATCTCAAGAATAATTAAGAATGAAAATTTGGAAGTGGAAGGAAACAAAAATATAATAAAATGCTAAGCTTAACATATATACATCAGCTATGGTGCTTCGGGTAACTGTATGATAATACAAATCTACCTAGTTTGCCATAATTGCGCGCAGACGCGAAACAACCGCTCCTTCAGCAACCCACGCTTACCATATTCCTGCCCATTCAGCAAGGTAACTTAACGTATTAATATTGATAAGAGCTAACAAGCCTGGATCACATCAAACTGGGCCAAAAGAGAGTTAAACAGAAAAACGAAAAACGAGAGGTATTTTGAGGCCATTAGAAATTTCTCTGGCCCGAAGCCACTGGGATCTGCGCCGTTTCATGCTGCGGTCTGGCCCCGTACCCATAGGAATACCCATCATCCGCGGCGCCGCTCTGGCCATATCCATAATTCGCGTACCCGGCACTCGTACCACCTCCAACCCCACCTTCATACCCTCCTACTCCAGTAGTGTTATCAACCACCGTCCCGGGCGCGCCGGCTGCAGGCGGGCCACCATGTACATACGCACTAGTCGCAGTCGCAGGTGCACCATATCCAGCAGTCTGAGGCTGCGCCTCCATACCTGGACCTCCAGCCGTCGAGCTACGTGACTTCCTACCCCGTGTAAATATACCTGCATAGCGATTGGGTGGTTTCTCATCTTGAGCATAGCCGGACACGCGGTTTGCTTCCAGTGGATAGCTGTTAGCTGAGGTATCGGTAACTGCTGCGCGGCGAGGGCCGAAGCCCCATAAAGATCGTGGCCCGGTGCGACTGGGGCCTTCCGTGTAGTTGTTTCTGGGTGACGGCCCGAAGCGTTTGCCGCGTTTGTGATGGCGGGCGTAGAGAACTTGGGGATATAAGGAGAGGGCGAAGAGTATACTGCGGGGTTACGGAAGCGTGAGCATTTCTGCTACGTTAAGGAGACGAAGATACGGTTGATGAATATAAATATACAACCTACCACCCAATGACAGCAACAGCGAGACTTCCCTTCTGCAATCGACACGCAGATCTCAAGCTCGGCAGATAGGTGAAGTTTTTATCATGTCCAGTGCCAAATCCACCTTCTCCGAAACCGGGAGCGGGTCGATTTGCATTTCCAGTACCCAAAGGAGTATTAACTATCCCGGAACATGAATCTGCACCATGTCGAGTCATAATCGCGATTGCAATAAAACCAGCGATAAAACAGACGTCGAGAATGAGCATCAGTGCGGCGAAGAATGCTATCCCGCCAATACACAGTGTGAATATCGAGGCTGCCAGCGTGTACAGGGTTGCTGCCCCGGAAATTCCCTCAACGGCCTTGATCCATCGTGCAATGGGCATATTATGATCAGTGAGGACAGCAAGGAAATAAGAAAATATGCCCAGAATAATGACTGAGCATGCGAGCTGGAGGAGGCGGAAAAGGAGGTTGGTGAAACGAATAAAGATACCCGCGGCACTCATGGTTGCGGGCTGGCAAGCCGATCCCAGCTGTAAAATGGCTAAGCTATTGGGAGGAGGTATCCAAAAATTAAGGTAAAATATGAAAGCTAACAATTGTTCTTGTGGAAGATGTGAGTGAAAACTGCTTCAGCTCGGTATATGAGACACGGATAAGCATTAAGTCATCAAACAAAAGGGAGTATCATGGAATTGAATTGAGGCATCATCGCTTTTCCGGCGCAACAACTGAGCTCCTTCTACCCTACCGCGCCACAGCGAAGCCACTCAATGACGTCAGGAAAGCGCGATGTTATGATGACTAAGCCGATATGCTGCGAACCAGTGGCCCAAGCTCCATATAATTCTGCGCGATTTCTTCCTGCCAAATACTCCGTGGGTTTGGCAGAAATAATAGCAGGCCAGAGATAGAAGGCTGCGTCGATTAAAGACAGCTGTTCGCAACGCTTCGTGTGTTTTCTCTTCTCTTCTTATTCTTCTCCTTTTTTCTTTCATTTTCCTTGCTTCAGAGGAAGTTTTTCAAATAGTTAGTGTTTGTGGCTTAGTAAATCAGCGGAACCCGCCCCATTGGAATTACGTCAACAGCCCACTGACCGAATGGTGCTTTTCTGTTGAGTAGGTAGACAACGGAGAAAGAGAAAAAAAAAAAAAAAAAAAAAAAAAAAAAAGAGCGGTAAGGAAATGATAGTAAACCAGAACCAGGGGAGATGGAGGGACACACACCAAATAGGTTCAACCGTGTGTTCAACAATGAAGATTCTCAAATTGCTTGGCTGAAGAATTTAACCTTACATAGTCGTTTATACCGACCCGACCGAGGTGTCGACTGGGTAAATGCTCCACATCACACATCATCGAAATGATCGCTTGGAAAAATTTTGATGGCCACTTCTCCCTCTCCACACTCACCCCGCCCCGCAGGTGCCCCCTCCGCCCCGAACGCATCGATAAGCGGGTAGCTCGTCCGCGAATTTCACGTTTATAGGACGTTTTAATTACCAACCATTCCCCCTTCATCACCTATCCGATGGCAGATCGAGTTTTTAGCAATCTCTCAGCCGAAGTCCTCAAGGCAGTTATTCCAAGGATATCGCAAGTAGGTCGTAGCTCTGCATCATACCCTCTGGCGAAACGATCGACGAATGTTGGTGCTGCGGGATAGTATCATGCAAAAAGTCGGGAAATTTAATTCTAAGAGGATAGTACGAATGAATCATCTCGTCCCGCGCGTTGGTTGTTCCTTTGCCTGTTCTTGCTCAATAAATGCTCGCAATATTGATTCCAAGCCTTCGTTTCGGCGTGCCAGAAGCATCACATCGGATAAGTTGATCGTCGACCGTCCCGCATGTCTATCATGGAAAAGTTCAGAGTGTAAGCAGATTTTTGTGTAGAGAGAAGCAGTGGTATTCTTAAGCCATAGAGAGTGACATTAAAGATTAGTCCTTACTTGGCGAATGCCTCCAGGTCTTGTCCCACGGTCTCTGAACTTGATATCAGCATGGATATAACGCTCCCCTGAAATCTCCTTCACGTCACGGCAAGGATAACCTAGGACAGTGGGAGGGATTTTACCTATCTGTGCCCAAACCATCTCCGTCAGTGCCCCTATAAACTGTGGAGTGGCATCAACACCCAGCTTGATCGTTTCATCGTCCACGATTCTACCAATTGCAAGCCAAAGAGCCGACTTCAGGCGCTACGGGAGAGCAAAACAATATTAGCGCCTCTCTCTATTTAAGAATGGATAAAACAATGATGGAGATCTACACTGACCTCTTCAAGGGCCACGGAATCACTTTCTTGCTCTGCCATCGAAGTGGATTAAGGTGGTTTCAGCTGTAAGATTGCCGCTGTTGCACCTCCGGGAGCTCACGCTTGAATGGCGTGGACACAGAGCCGTGGTGTGATTGGCGCGAAACGCGCTAGACGCCAAATGGCGGAAAAACACTTTTCGCGTTTAGAGTTTCTCGGAGCTCACAGATGACGTAACTTCATCCTTTTTTTAAACCTCCACGGCTAAGAAATGCCGCAAACCCACTAAGATGATGTAGAGATATTTTCACACATCTCCTCAAGCCATTTGTCTACCTTTTCTCAAAGCGTTCGAAAGGCTAATCATACCTACCTATCCTGTTAACGCTGTATAATCAATAATCTCTTGGGTCGCGCACTTCATCTTGTTCTATGTAAACCGAGCTACTCGGAGATCATTGACCCTTCCTCTGTGCTCCGCAAACCACCAAGTTGGAGCAAACCCCCCAGTTACATAAAACCCTAGAATCGCAAAGAAAGACGTCCACAATCTCCAGCATTAGTCTCTGAAATAGCCCCAGGGGCCCCAAGCTCGTAGCCACCAAAATGGCCACTCTAGACCCAACCTCCCTCGTGGCCACCCTCCAAGCCTGGTCTACAAACCTCACAACCAACGTCTCCAGCTCCGTCTCTTCCCTAACCCTACGCGACTACATCCGCCTCGTCTGGATAATAGGCGGCTACCTCTTCCTGCGCCCGTACCTGGACACCGGTTTCCGCAAGCTCCTCAACACCAACATGGATAAATCCGACGCGGAGGAGAGAGAGCGCGAACGGGCGGAGGCGGAGGCTGCGAATGCTGGTTCAGCCGGCGCGACGGCGAAAATTTCTGCGAATGCGCTGAGGGGTGCGTTGGGTGTCGGGAGTGATAGTGAGGATGACGAGGAGGGGCCGGAGAAGACGCGGGCTGTGCCGCAGTGGGGGAAGAGTGCGAGGCGGAGACAGAAGAGGGTGTTGAGGCAGCTTGAAGAGGCAGGGGAGAGGTTGAGGGAAGATGAAGATGATAAGGATATTGCAGATTTGTTGGAGGATTGATTTCATTTTGGCGTTGATTTATTTATTTATTATTTTTAGTTAGTTATTTTTATTTTTATTTATTTATTTATTTTGTTGGGGGGAGGATTTTATAGGGGTGGGGATTGTTTTTATATGCTTTATCTCGTTCGATTTGGTCATTATTATTCAATATTTTCCATGTATAATGAGGCCATTTCGTATTGGATGGTTTACAGTGGGATAGATCATTTCACATTTGAATAGTCGATATAATTTTATCTTCACATGAAAGCCATGGATATTCTTTTGCTTTTTTCTCATTTCCGAAATGAATATTAATTGCCCATTTCGTACATACATGTAGAATAAAATAGAGCCTAGACTTAGGCATACATAGCCTTACCCAATCCTACTATTACCGTGTCCACAACCCGCAACAAACGCAAATACATCCATCCTAATGCATCCTCTTCAACTCCTCCACAATCGCCTTAACACGCTCAACAGTAACACCAGCAACCCCATCCGCGATGACTTTTCCGACAATCTCCTCCTGCAATTCCGCGCCACAGCCCAAAAACCGCTCAATCAGCTCCCCGTCAACGAACCGATACGGCTCCTCTGCCTGGCGTACGGTATTTCGGAAGGCGCGGAATTTGTTAAACGGCATCCCGCCGGGCGTTACCACCATGCCAGCCATTGCGGATTGCAACCGCATGAGCAGGTCTTGGTAGGTCGGGTTGATGATCCCGAAGAGGTAGATGGAGCCTTCGACCTATATACACAGATCATATTAGTTGTCGACGTTTGATGAAGGAAAAAATAAATAAATAAAATAAAATAAAATAAAAATAAAAATAAAAATAAGAAAATAAGAAAATACGTACGGTACCCAAGAACGCTCTGGGGGAAATCGCCGCCTCCGTCCCCAGTGACGCTTGAATATTCACCGGCCGTATCCGGTTTACCATCTCCCCCAGTAAAACCTCACTCGTAACTTCCAACCTCCGTCTATCATCCTCCGTCACGCCGTTGACATTCCGGCGAAGTACGACCAGATTTCCCTCAGCGTCACTCTCCAGCCACGTATCCTGGGCCACTGGCGCGACAGCAGTGCTCCAAAGAGTTTGGAAATGACGGGCAACTTCTGTCAGGCTGCCAGACAGACCGTCGGTGCCTTGTTGATATTCGACAATGGATACACTTTTCATGAGATCCGCGACAGCGATGAGGTTGCCTGTCACGGCGATGTCAATGGGTGCAGTTGAGGTGCGATAACTGGCGGTTTTAGTAAGGATGTAGTCAGCGAATTGACCTTTGGAAAGCGTGTAGACGACGACCTGTTACAAGATATGCGGGTTAGTCCATCATGAAGAAGCTAAAATCGGCATGAGTAGTTCGACGAACCGTTTTCATAAGCGCAGCAACAATCTTATCCTGCACAATAGCCAGTGCCCTACACGCGCCCTTAACAGGCATCTCCGCTACCTTCCCGAGTTGTCTGTTCGGCGTCACTTCAAACGCTAATATCCTCCCGCGTATAGAGCCCTCACCAAAATCGTCAAGATAAGACGTACCCACGATAAACAAGTCCTTCATAAGCTCCTCGCCTTCACTGTCTTTATCATCTGGGAACTGGGCGCGAATAACACTTTCCACAAGCTCATCCTTATTCAGATCATAAACATCCAATTCGCGGAACATAATCTCATCAGCTAGCATGAACCGACTAGCAATGACCTCCGCACCATCCTCAAGCGTCCGCTTAATCGTACCGATACCGAACGCTCTCTCAGGCGCCGAATACGCAACCCTCCGTACGGTCTCTCCAACCTCCAGCGTCTGGATCTGCGTGGTCCGCTCCGCATCCACGAGGGCGATTTTCAATTCTGACGGTGTGGCTAGCGCGATGGATGCCGGATATGCTTCTGAGTTGAAGTGGCAGATGCGCGAGGCCTGATCAGAGTTGACGGCAGAGTAAACGATGCGGCCCTCTGCTGAGTAGATTAAGCTGGGCTGCTCGCACGTAGCAAAAACGTTGTATAAACCATCTCCGCGGGGAAGTTTCTTGAATGAGGGCTGTTCAGAGCCTAAGGTTATTTTACTCATGCTTGTTAGGGAGAAATCGGTCGCGTTGAAGGAGAATGAAAAGACGCTTCCATCAGCCATGGAGACAAAGAGAGTTGCAGGATTATTTGGGAGCACTTCTGCGACCAGCACAGAGCGTGGAACAGCGTCGCCTGGTTCGCCCAGTGACGTGCTATGGCGAATGGTCAGGTCTGCCAGGCTCATGACAATGACTTCAGCCGTTTGTGGTAGGCAAAGGATACAAGAACGGGCCGGGGATGCCGTGACAGTGACACCAGACACCTGTGTGTCGACACCAAAATCCTTCTCTCCTGCGACTTTGATTTCACCTCTAATATCGAAAATCATGAGAACTTGACCTCCAACCATCAAGACGAGATGGTCGTCATTTGAAGAAGCCGCCGTGATGGCTTTCTGCGACACTGGAGACCACTCCCACATCACCATGCCACCATCCAACTCCGCAACCCGCACATTCCGTTCTGTGACTTGTAAAATCCTGCCGTTTGGTAGATTCGCAGCAATGAGCGTACTCTCTGTAAGTCCCAGCCCCATAAACTCATCCTTCTCTTCCACCCCCCCATCAGGTGTGAAATAGAACACCCGCGTCTCATCTACAAAGGAAACCAACAACGTATCCGAAAATTCCTCTGGACAAGCAACCCGTAATGCCCAGAGGTCCGTAATATGTTCCATGGACCCTAACACACCTACTTCCTCCATTCCCACGCCGCTTCTCACGCTCCTTAGACTGCCATCATTAAATGCGCCGGACCCCGTAACAATCCGCGCCTGACCCGACGAAAACTCGTGCGTCTGGCTCTCCCCCATGGCCCGCCCACCTAGATCCATAATCGTAAAATCAAGTATTGGTGCAATATTTGCGAACGTCTGTATGACCTCAAACGATCCCTCAGTGATGCGAATGAGCTGAGAATCGCCCTGATGCGAGCCAATAAACGTGACTCCACCACCCATGTAAACTAGTACCGAGGCGCGTGGGATATTGCCTAGCCGGTCAAGTTTCCAGCTCTGAACGGCGTTGTCCGAATCTAAGATTAACATAAGAAAGAATAGACGGCCATAGTCGTCCGCCAGCAGCCATCGCTGGCCATCGACCTGCTCCCAGGCAACGAAGATGGTGGCTTCTTCGAGGGGCTGTGAGATGCATTCGTTGCTCGCATCGTCGAGGTACCGGATTGAGGTTTCGCCAAGGACGAGGAGGCCTCCTGTGCGTATACAATGAGTAAAAGTAATATAACTACATGTAACGAACAGATGGTCCATCTGGCCAAAATCATAAGGAGAGACATAGAAAACCTACCTAATGGCGCCGGCACCGGCACCAAAAAGCTAGCCCCCATCTCCAACTCCTCCTTCAACATATCCAACCCCTTCAACACCGCCGCACTCCCCCCATCCGCTCCAACTCCACTCCCACCGCCGGATCCACTCCCAATTCCCATCCCGCCATACGTAACCTCCAGCTCCCTAACCTTCAGCCGCACCTTCCCCATCGTATCCTCATACAAAAGCGCCATCCTTGGTAGCATATCCGCCTGCGTATGCAAAAACGTCGACGAGCGCACCAACAATTCCTCAACGCGCGCCTGACAAGGTTCGCCTAGCTCCAAGTCCGCCGCCCCTACATCCTGATTCCCCTGCATCGTGCTTGCGCTGGCATTAGCAGCCCGCTTCCCCAACTTCCGCCCGGATCCTCGTGATCGCAGCGGCTGGCCAATGGGTATAACCGTGACGATGCCTTCGTATAACTCTAGCGTGAGAAATCGGCCAGAGGGATCGATAAGGCAGCGGTCGCCGAGTTGGGACTCGCGGGCGGAACCGTCGGCAAGATCAACGTATTTGCGCTCTGTGTGGAGGTTTTTTGTCTTTTGGTCCCAGGAGACGGTGAAGTAGGTGGAGCGGTCTGTGCCAACGAAGAGGATGTCTGTTTGGGGACGGAAGGGAGCCGGTTGTAGCTGTGGTCGTTGGTCCGGGGTTTGCGGCTCTGGCTGTGATTGTGGTTGTGTAGGTAGTGGGGGTCGTGATAGCTTTGCTAGCATAGTCACTTTGCCGTATATGGCTTTTGAGTGTTCGAGGGAGAGGCCATCGGGAGTTCGGGAGTAGAATTCAAGGCGGTTGGATTTGCTGGAGTGAGTGCGGGCGTGGTTAGATACTGTGTTTGGTAGTGATCCTGTGCATGAATGGGAGAGCTAGCTACCGGGTTGGGGAATACTCACGCAACAACCAAGCAGTCTTTTTCCGGCTCCAAGAATTGGAGCTTTAAAGCATGGCGGATGCTGCTTGCATGATGGATAGGCACCACGTACGCCATATTGAAGAGCCGGGAGCTATAAGCTGACCTGCCTAAGAGTGTTGGAGAGCAGAGCAGTGATAAGCAGAGCAACCACTCTGGTATCAGGGAATATGTTGGGCGATTCCGATACTGTAATCACACCAACCTGTCGCCACAGGTATTCAATAATATAGAGAGTATATGGAGGACTATGGTGGCCAGTGCAGATATGCCGGCTGTTTGTCTAGGCACTGGCGGGTTGAAGTTAGAGTTGAAGCCGAAGTTGAGACGATGCGGCTACTGATTTCATTGTATTATTTCATATTAATATGATGCTGGCTTGGCACGCTTAAATATCGAAGATCCCCTCCTAACTAGAGGAACTTATCAATTTGACATGGCGGAAGCCGAAAAGCAGTTATAAATTACAAATTGGATAGTAGCGGCGAAGGGTGAAAAAAGATAAACTAATCTATATGCAATTGAGTTTCTTATCTGGTATCTCATTCTAGGAAAAAGGGAAACCCCATAAACTTAGGCCGTCCATCCCGCGTATATCCATTCCCATAGGTACAAAAATAAGAGACAGAACATCCTAAACCTAAAAAAAAAAAAAAAAAAAACACTCCATTGTCCATCTATCGCGACATATCCTTCAGATATTTATACACCACAGAAAAGTCCTTACCCGGATACCCGCTCTCAGTCTCCGCATAAACCTCCTGCGCCTTCTCCGCAAGCTTCAAGGGTGTCCCCGCCTCCTTCGCCGCCTCCACCGCAAGCCGAAGATCCTTCTTCATCAACGACACCCCAAACCCACCCGCATAATCCCTCGAAGCGGGCGCTGTCTCGACCACACCGGGCACGGGGTTATTCACCTCACTCGACCATGACCTCCCCGTGGACGAATTGATCATCTGGCCCAGCGTCTTCGCATCCAGCCCCCACCGAATCCCGAGATTCATCGCTTCCGCCGTCGCGATGTTCTGGATGGCGAGGAGGTAATTGTTGGCTAGTTTTCCGGAGAGCCCGGCCCCCTGCTCACCCAGGTGCCATACCTTCTTGCCCATAAGCAGGAGAGCCTCTTCGGCCCGCTGGGCAAGTCCGGGCACTTTGGAGGAGGCACCGAGCATGAAGGTGAGAGTACCGGCCTTGGCGCCCACGACGCCGCCGGACATGGGAGCATCTACGAATTTGCCGGCGCCCGTGCAGTGGACTGCGTTTGCGACTTCGCGGGAGGAGGCGGGGTCGATCGTCGAGCAGTCGATGAAGAGGCGGTCTTTGTCTGATTGGGGTTTTGGGAGGCCGCCTTTTAGGATGATGTGGAAAACGTCCTTGACGTGGCGGGGTTCAGGAAGACTGGTGATAATTGTTTCCTACAGGGTAAAGAAAATTGGATTTTTATTAATTTCCATGAAAAGTCTAGATATTGGCAGAGTAGCAGAGCCAATCGAGTGAATGCGCAGGCGGTTGTTTTCCCAAATTCATATACCTAAAATGCGGGAAGGTAGACATAGAGGCAGTGTGAAGGGCTTAGGGTCGCCAAATGAATACAAAGAGATGACATATGTATTTTGCAAAAATAAGTATACACAATCCTTACCGATTCTAAAGCCACCTGTTGAGGGCTAGTCGCAACCTTGACTTTCAGGTCGCTGGGTTGTTCTTGGACGAATTGCTCGGTGGTTTTCGCGTTGACGTCGCATATGATCAGTGTATCAGATTTGGGGATTTTGGAACGCAAATTCCTAGCCATTGAGTATCCTAGGGGTGGAAAAGAAATACGCACAATCTGATTAGCTAACTAATAAGTTCCCTCAAGACAAGGGGTTTGAGTATCAAGGCCGGGTAGTTGAAGTATGTTCCCTGTTGACAGCGGACATGCGGAGATGGAGAGACAGTCGCCCGAACACACCACCGAAAAACCGGCAACACCAAGGACTGAAGACCGGCATGGACATATGCAGCGGAGGTATATAAAAAAGAAAAAGAACAAGAAACCAAGGGAATGAGACAATACGCACCCATCTGCCCCAAACCAATAAACCCCCAAGTCGCATCCCGTGATAGAGTCGTGGAGAAAGCTCTCCTTGAAGCGTGCGGAGTAGTGAAGGGAGGGGCGAGCAGCCTCCTCAGCGGGGCGTTGAACAGAGAAGTACTCATCTTGGACAGCTGGGTATAAAGAGTTAAGGATGGCAGCGGGGATGAGAGAATGAGAAAAGGAAAAAAAAAAAAAGCACCAAACAAAAAGAATGGGTACTGTGTTTAATAATTGCGGAGGAAAGGAGGAAGAAAAGCGTCAAGCAAGTATTTATCACAGTGAGTGAGACGGAGAATGGAGGAAGCATGGGGAAGTTTAACTAGTTAACTCTGGAGCCGAGCAGGTTGAGCCGAGTCTCGACCTCTAATCCAATCCCTTATCCAGAGGCAGGCAGGCCGTGCTTAGCCTTGCCCCAGCTCCAGCCTCCCGGGCGCCTCAGGCTAGGGGGGAGTCCCCATTCCAGCCACACCTAATAGGGGCTAATGGGCACTAACCGACACTAAAGGCGCTAATTTGGCCCCCAGAGCTCTGGCTGTCGCCCTTATTCGCAGGCGCCCAACCACGCCCCGGACTCGGCAGCCACTCACAGCCCAGCGTCAAAACTCCGGCTTCAACCGAGGGCGGGCGATTGGCGGGGGGGTAGGGCACAGCAACTTGAGCACATTATATCGGCATATCAAAGTTGGCATATCAAAGGTGAGGATAGTCAAAAAAGTAATAAGTGAAATCCCTTTGATTCATTTTTCTTAAATAGTTAGATGTCTCATTTCATTATCGGCCTTCTCATTGCCATTAGCTAACTGTTCGGTGGTCATGCCATGCCTGCCCCCTTTCGGTGCAGAATTGATCACCACAGCTCTTATTTTACAATATACATCCAGACATCCATACATAGTACTCTTGTTATAGCTCTCACTGGATTATGGCTTTCTTTATCAATGCTAATTGGCGGGATTCCGGGTTCAACAGATTATCTCCCCATCAGCAGAATGGCTTCTGAAAAGTGCAACAATCAAATTTACATATCACTAACTATATTCGGTAACTACATAACTGATGCTGCAATGGACAATTCGACCCACATGCAAACTCTGGCCCCTGGCTCTATTGAGTATCAACAAACTATATGTATGTAGCTATGAACGAGCTTCGGACAACGTTACGAGTAACTAGTTAGTTAACTACTCTACAAAGCCGCTAACCTCGTGCTTCGTCATTGGGCAGAAAACAATGTAACTTCGCCATGGAGCTTACGCTCCAGCGTCGAACATCCCTAAGAGGATACAGAACTCGCAGCTTGCTTCAGAATCTCAGGGTCTATGATGTTGTCAGTCATCAGGACACTGAAAAATACTCCACAAAGATGACGTGCACCCTCTGCAATAAGTTCCAAGGGAAATGGGACATTTCTGATACCCGCCTTAGGGGTATGAATAGGCACCACATCGTCCCTAAATTCACTTGGGATGAAATGCTCAATTCAGCAAAGTCATGCTACTGCTGCAGCATTCTCATATCTGGATGCCGTGGCTGTTTCGGCCAGCACGGTATTAAAGAATCGGATATCCTACACGGAATCCTTCGTTTCTACTACCCCACCACTATCGACGACGCTGAGAAACAGGAGTCGGGCAAGAACTTGATCTTCTTAATGAAAGGCGGTCGTCGTTTTGAAATCCAGATATTTTGCACAGAGAATGATGATTGCCCAATCCCGGACTCGTGGGATTACATCCCAGTTTCGAGGAGAACTTCGCCAGGCACCGATTCCGATACGGCTATGGCTACCCTCAAGGGCTGGCTTGCATCATGCATCGTCACTCATTACGTACCTGAATGCTTCTGCGACTCACTCGATAACCCACCTTTGCCCACAAGGGTTGTGGACGTGGGCCTCGACGAAAACAGCGTCAAGCTCATCGAACCAAAGGGTACGATCAGGGCCAAGTACATCTGCCTCAGCCACTGCTGGGGACTCGCCCAGATCATCACGACTACCAAATCGACTCTCGCAGAGCACAAACGGCGCATACCGTGGGCATGCCTATCCAAGACCTTCCGCGACGCCATTGCCCTCACCAGAGCTCTTGGCATCAAATACATCTGGATAGACTCCCTCTGCATCATCCAAGACGACGCGAGAGACTGGGACGTGGAATCCGCCAACATGGCTGCAATATACACAAATGGCCATCTAACCATCGCCGCAACGATGTCAGCCAATGGCGCCGGCGGACTTTTCAGAGACACTCCAGACTTCGAAGTTTCCGGCAAGACACCGCCTTCAGGTAAAAGTGGCAAACGGGAGGCCTATCGCCTCTTCTTCCGCGAGCACATCGACCACCACATCGACATGGAAATCACCACCAGCGACATATTCACCGGCAACCCAACCGCAACCCACTACCCCCTGCTCACCCGCGCATGGGTCTACCAAGAGCGTATGCTCTCTACCCGCATCCTCCACTTCGGCCGCTACGAGCTCTTCTTCGAATGCCGCTCCAGCATCTTCTGCGAATGCAACGACATAGAATTCCACGGCTCCTCGCCCGAAGTGCCCATCGCGCTATTCAAAATCGAGCACGCAGAAGCACTGGGCGATTACACCAGCAGCTGGGCGGCCGATGAGAAGTTTCGACACGCGGTCCGCTACCAGGGCGCGAGCCTGTGGCGGACGATGGTGGGCTGCTACACGGCGCTGCTGCTGACGAAGTCGAAGGATCGCCTGCCAGCTATCAGCGGTATTGCCAAGGACCTTGCTGCGCGCCGACAGTCGCGGTACCTGGCGGGCGTTTGGGAGGAGTCCATCAATGACGATCTAATCTGGAGCGTGCACATGCGCTCGCGCCACCAGAAGGGGAGACCGTACCCGCGCAACGCACCGACGTGGTCATGGGCGAGCACGGAGTCCTACGTGCTGTATTACGATGGGGCGTTATTTACCAACCTGGCAGATCGGCAGGGGTCGTTGAAGGAAAGGCAGCCGTTCAAGCATTTCAGCACCGTGGAGAGGTGCGAGGTGACTTGGACTGGTGTTGATGAGTTCGGGGCTGTTTCGAGTGGGGTTCTTACGATTTCTGGGCTGGTGGTTGCTGGGTTGCTTGAGCGGGAGGTTGAGGTGCGGGATGGGGTGGAGGATGTTGTGCATTATGTATCCTTGCCGATGGGTGGTAATAGTAGTAGTAATAATAATAATAATAATAATAATAATAACAACACGAAGACGAAGAATCGACTGCGACTGGCAATTAAACCGGACTACCTGCTCGATCATGATGGACCAGGGCAGACGAAGCAGGGGACAGAGGTATTTTGTCTACGCATGAGCGTTATACAGGAAGGATCGACAGACCATCTGATATCGCTTGTCTTGAAGAAGCGGTCTGAATCGTCTGGGCGTTTTGAGCGGATTGGAACGGTGATTCTTCTGCAGAAGCCCCCCCCTATAGATCCTGTTGGGGAGATGTTTCAAGATGCTGTGTTAAAGACGGTAACCATCATTTAACCAATACTTTTTAGCGCATAGCATGTCAACTTATTTTCTGCAGTCGATAGACGTAATGGATTTATTAGACGGGTGGATTGGTTAGATTTGAAGATTAATATACACCATTCTATATCGTGAATATCATTGATAACCAAATCTACCACGAACGCCAGAAAGGAAACATAAACAATATCGCAGGAGAAAGAAATGTGATAACCACTGGGAATAAATCGTCAAATACCGAACGCAAAGCAGCCAAACAGTCTTTCTATTAAATACGTCCATTCCTATCTATATATATGCCTCGGGAAAAATCAAATCTTTCATCATTCATATATCCCCCAAGCTCCTGACACCGACCCACAGACACAATCAACCCATAACTTATGCAATCATTATCCTGACTTTCGGATCCACAATGAGAAAATAAGGCAAATGTCACACAAAAGGCTCCAGAAAGAACATATAACTTGTTCTAGGCTGGTGATGGTGATGGGAGATAAAACGTCAAACATTAAGGAGATTTTATCATGATACCGAGGAAGAAAATTGGAAAACAAAAGCAGTATATAAATGTGTACGTGAGATATAGAAAAATGTAAAGGGGGGGGGGGGGGGGGGACGGGGGGGAGTTAAACAGTATATTTAGAGATCAGGGTATCTTAAGCGGTAAAATGGCAGTAATACGAGCAGAAAGATACGTAGTCAAGGGACGGGAGATTATATAATTAGAGTATTGCAAGGTGTGCCACTTCAATGTCCCGGGGAAGCAGGACCGCTCGGTGGGACAGCGCTCGTGGTGGGGCCACTTGTAGAGCCACCTGGAAGGCCTCCCGCTGGACCCGTAAGATACTCCGCCGGGACTTTGGGAACTCGTGGTGAGCTAGCCGTATGGACAAACGCACGCTGCTGAGCTCTTAGGAGGTCCCGCTGGCGTTCTTTCTCTCTGGTGGAGGACGTGCCGCCAGTCAAGCGACGCACGCTGCTGCGGATCACGGACTCAAGCGAGAACGGACCTTCGCTGCCATGGCGCGGAGACGTGGCTGAGTTAGAGGATGGCTGGTCAGAGTCGGAGAGCGCTTCCTCGAGCTCGTCATCGGATAGGAATGGGAGTGTAGTTGAGCTTCCGAACATGGGTATCGATAACTGGCTGCTGGAGGGATAGGTGTTTGCGGGCGAAGTTACGGATCGTGTGTGCATAGAGGTTCTGGAGGATGGGATTCCGGAGTTTACGCTGAACGTCGAAGCGTGCATCCCGGTTACATCTGTGCGACTGGTTGTTGGTCGGGATTCAGCGAGGCCGTTGTGGAAAGATGAGGATGAGGCTGTTCGAGCTAGTGACTTTCGTAAGAGAGGGGCGGTTTGCTGATCGTAAAGATTGGCACTGGCGTCGTGGAAGTCGCTTGCGAAACTGTGCAGTGTGGTACCTGAAATTGAATTCAAGGGGGCTGGAATCGCTTCAGTTTCGTCGAAGAAATCATCAAGACTGTCTAGTTTCTGCAATAAGTCGCCCATACTTCCGTCGTTCTGGGTATCGAATGATTTCATCGTGTCCGCTCGTAGCCCCGGGAAATACAAATTGTTATATTCATCCACGTGGAACTCCATTTCAGGGGACGCAGGAGTTTGTTCGGATCCATCGGCGTCTGCACAAGTGTAGAAAACAGCATGCACATTATTCCTCGTCAGGGCTGACTGGGCAGCGGGAACAGGGATAGACCAGCCAGTTCGTTCCGGTATTCCATACAGACTTTGGATACGCTCAAACTCCTTACGGATCGCTCGAGATGAGCATGACGAAGCCATACTCATTCTTAGATGATGTCGCTCCATCGGGTTTCCAGAGACGGTCATTATGTGGTCCATCACTTCTAGGGCCTGGGGACATAGGTCAGTGTGAAGCAGTCGAAGTAGGGGAGAAATGAGATCCGGCCCATAGCACGCAATTTCAGGGCGACGCATGTCGATTTCAGAAATTAAAGCACACAGAATCTTCATAGTCTTGATGCGGAACCATGGTGTCGTGTTCGTCAGCAACCCCATAAGGAAAATAAGAGTTTGGACCTCTTGCGCGGGGAAGTAGTAAGATCGAATAGCTTCAACAGTATCTACTAACAAATCTTGACTCCGCTTATAGTGGCCGCTTGAGAAGCCAAATAAGCAATCAGAAAGTCGAGTATACCCGTTGTTCTCAGAAATCGAAGCAAGTAGCCTCGCGCGCTCGACAACCTCCTTGGGCCGTTCTGGGAGATCAAACCGGTGGAGTAGGCCCGGGAGGTTCGCCAGGATTGCAAAGAGTAACCGATTGTTATCACCCACCAGTTCATCGTTGGGAAGTGCAGTGAGCCGGTGCAGAACGGACAAAGTCTTGTCTAGCAATTCACCAGATTTTAATCCCTTGTATATCAGAACCTGGATGCCCTCAAAGTCGCCTTCCCACTTGGCCGGTTTGCTCTCTCTGAGTTTCGTTAAAACAGCCGGGTCACGCATGTCCACCTTGTCCAGATATTTTTCCAGCATACCAACACTTTCCATGAACTCGCGCTCATGAATCGTGTTAAGGCATGCACACGTTGTCCAGAAGAGTTGGGGGTAGCGCAGCAAATCCTGTGGCGCAAGGGAGCTGATGATAACTTTCAACGTGGTCAAAATTTCCATCGAGAAGGTTTGGTAATCGGTTTCCTCGTCGGCAATCGTATTAGACAACCGTGCGAGCATATCCGCTAGCATTCTCGAGTCAAGGGACGTCGAAATGCATCTGAACACCTGAAAGGACCGACATGCAAGGTGCCGGACAGGGCAAGAAGTAGACCAGTTTAACGCCTCTTTCGCCCATAGATCGTTCACACCTTCGTACGCAGCAGAGAAAAAATTCGCGACATCTTGGGTCACACGATGCATAGACGCAGGAACCCTGCTGGTATCCTGGTCATCATCGCCGCCATTATTGTCCTCATAGTCCCAAACAACAGCGGCGTCACCCCGACGGATACATTCGACGAAATCTTCGATAGATGTCCTCATGCCATCCGGTGAGTCACCAATTTTTGAAGCAACAAGCTCGTGGATTAAATGGACAAGCATCTCACGGGCTTGCTCTTGTACGGTGAGTGTGTAATGGTCCCAGAATATGAGGGCAGTATGGAGTAATTTGATCACACTGTCGAGCCCAAGTGTAACAGGAGAAACCATCAAATCGACGAGGAAAATGAGAGAGACTTGGCCTAGTGAAAATCCAGCCTACATGAACTGTTAGAATTCAACGTAAAAGAAAGACAAATTTCAATGACAACTTACTTGCTTGTTACCAACGGGCAAAACAGTCCCAAGGTCGGCGACATATGGCAAGCTTTTCAAGTCAGGCGGCAGCGGAATCGGGTCTCTCCGTTCGTGAACCATATTCTTAGGCACGACCTGCATCAAGAAAAACTCAATGACTTTAGAACCAGCCAACGTCGTGGACAAGAAGACAATAATTTGCTTCGCGTAATCTACGAAATTTTGTTCCTTCCGCTCGAGACAGAGGTTGATGATAAAATCAAGAACCAGTTGCACATTGCCAGCATGAGGGCCCGTAGCAAGCGCTTGCCAGAGTGCTTGGACTTCGTTGGGAAGAACGTTGCCAGATTGAATTGTGATCTCGAAGAGGTTGGCAAGGAGCATATACGACTTGGCCGTTGGTCCGCCATTTGGATCCACTTGAAGTTCTATTGCCTGGATCCACGGAAGAATTGCTGCTACCATGTTTCGTTGGGTGTCTGGTTGGATTTTCTTGAAGTGCAGTGAAAATTCCGAAAAGATCGTGAATGCTAGGTCAGTGTGTTGTTGCGCCAACCGCTTTGAAGTTTCAAACTGAGCAAGCTTGTAGACAGCAGTTGTCTTATCGGATATGCTGATGTCAAAGTCCTGAATCCTAGAGTTCTTCTGTTGGCGCTCTTCAAGTGTACGTAATAAACGTGCAGATTTCATCCGGATCTCTCGTTTCGCGTTGCCCAGTGCGAAAAGAACAGCCCCAAGAATTCTCCAAAATGCAAACGGATAATCAGTGTGCTCGATCAAAACTTGTGCAACGACATCGAAGTAGCTCTCTAATGCTTTGGGACTTTCGGAGATGTAGCACATTTCGATTGACTGTTCTAAAAGGTGTGGCAGATCCTTATTGTGGACGATCAAGTTCTTCAGAGCCCGTCGCCCAATGGCATGGAGTTTGTCGCTCACAGTATTAAGGATGATATCAATCCAGGAAAGCATACGTCGCACATCGAATTGGAGAGTAGCTCTGCTCTCTGTAGTTATTTTGATGGGCCCGCCGCATAGAGAAGCCATAGCACTCAGAGCAGCCGTCCTCAAATTCCTCTTCTCAATCTCCAACGCTGCAGTACTTCGAACCTCCCATGGTTCTCTTTGTCGCGCAAGCGCAAGTTTCCTCATGTTTTCTTCCCGTGCAGCGATCTGGGACTGATTCGGCGAATAACCACACCAATCCTCCATGAGCGAAAATGCGGACTTCCTCGACTCAAAGGGCATCCAGCGGGAGGGATCTTTGGATTTATTGATGCCTTCGAATAGCTCCTTTAGTAATCCACAGTAATGGAATCTAAGCCTCTGGAACTCAAGGTCATTTTGCACCTCAACGTCACTGAGGAATATCCTCAAATCTTTCGTGTACGTTACCAGGTTGTTGAGGATCCAGTCGTCGTTGTACACCTCCGGCTCCTTCAGAAAGTGCGATGTGACCTTGTAGACATTGGTGACTTCAGTTCGTAGTCTATCTGTTCTCCTGTTTCTCCGGGGGCTGCTGGGAGTCCTATTGTGCGTTCCAATTCGTACTCGAGCTTCTTCATTGCAGGTAGTCACTGCATACTGCAATGATTCCAACAATGTACGATACAGATTTTTGTTTATCGAACCAAGGGCGACAACAATAGCATTGCGAATCGAGTCAGGGCCAGCAGATAGCAGAGGAATAACAGTTGCAAAAAGTGCTCTAGCAGAACCGATTTTATCCTGGGGATGTTGACCTGCCCTCGATGTTTTACGAGCATGCTGAGCATTGGCAAGCTGACTTTGTGATTGTGCGCCCGCTGTATTGATGGTAGTGCACGCCATTATCAAGTACAATTTCCACTGCTCGACCAAGATGTCGGGCGAGTTGCTGCTGCGGGGAGCCGGTCGACCTTGGACAATGTCCAGCGAGGCGTACTGTCCTGGTTGAAAATTTTCGGCAAGGGCAGCGATGCTGTTGTGCATTTGAACTAGTCTAGCACAAACAATTTCGCGTCCCAAGGTTACGGCAAATGGGCAAGTTCTGAAACTGATGCGGATGAGATTTGGAAACACCTTAGACCAGAGAGTAGAGTCATAGGAAACCTCGCTGCTACAAATCTCTATGAGGGTGTTGTGTGGCCCATTTTGTTGCTTCCCTTTTTGAAGTCGGCTCCTCTCCGCAACGGTAAGCAGGTCATCCTTCAGATCTAGAACATTGTACGACTCGTCTTCCAAAATCTGAATTATACGCGGCACGTCTTTCCCAGTTTTGCCCAGGGCGCTGTCGAACTCAGTAACAAGACGAAGGACAGTGATCGCAAATGCGCGAACTCGTCTTGACTGCGAACACAAAAAGAAGAGTCCGTGGGACTCGATCTCCTCCACATGAGCCATGACAGCTGACAAGTCTAGTTGCACCCCCCTACTTCCACTTCCACCATTCTCTGCCGGGTCTGAACTCGCGTCTTTGCTTTTTTGTTTTATCTCTTCAATCCAAATTTGTATCAGCTCAACATATAATTTCAAAGTAGATTCGATGTGTCCCGGGCCCAGCATCCCCTCGTCCGACATTGTTGAATACCTCGCATCGAAATTGAAAATGAATCGAGCGAACCCAATTGCAACATGCTGAGCGTGGGATTGGCGAGCAATGGATTTGAGAGACTCGGCCGAAGAGCTGGCAATATTAGACTGTACATGCGCAGTCCCGGTGCAGAGTAAATTTATCAAAGAATTGAAAGGAATATGATCGCAGAGACAACGAGGGAGAGCCTGGACAGCAACATGTAGTAGATCATAAAAGGCTTGTTTTTGGTCAGGGCCAGTTGAATGGTCATCTCTTCTTCCAAAGCTAAAAGCTTCTGCGATTGGTGTTTTGGGCGTGACTCCACCGAACTTCTCATCTAGAGCTGCCTGGCCACCAAATGTGTTATCACATAAGATTGTGATCTTTCCTAGTATTTCACAGAAACGGAAATAAAATTTCCGGGAATTCTCACTAAGTTTCGCGGTATTGACCGGTCGGAAGACGGCCTCTTGTAGGGCTTTTTTGTTCGGATTTAAAGTGTCTACCGTTGTTGTCCGCGGGTCGACAAAGGGAAAAGCTGAGGTAAATGGTTGGTCTGTGACAGCAAAGTCCTGCGGGAATGGAGGTGGCTGTTGGCCTCCATGGTCTAAATCGGCCATTATCGCTAGAAAGGAGCGGATCCCAATCACCATCTTCTCAGGCTCCATTTGCTCAATTTTCAATTCTTTACCAGACATGATGAGGTCCGAGTTAACCAGCGGGAATATTATACCTCTGAAGCACATATCAGGGTGTTTATAACCGACCATCCGGATAAGTTGTGTCAACGGCTCAGCCACGGCTGTCTCAGTAGTTAAATACGTCCTTCTACCGCCTGGAAGAGCGATTCGTGTGATTTCATCTATTTTTCGAAGTGGGTTATTTTGGGAATCGGTGTAGCGAAAGAGGTATGTCCAAAGTAATCGACAGATTGCCTGGAGGGCTGTCCCTCGGGTAGGCCGGTCTTTCAATTTTGGCGGGAGGCTGGTAATCACAGACATCCACTGGGCATAAAATGTTTCTTTGGGCGACACGCATAGAAGTAGAGTATAAAGGGGGAATGCACTATTCCAGTGCCGAGGTTTTCCGAGAATTTGAGATAAGCGTGGAAAAAGGATGTCCACAAGCTCCTTCCATTTGGGTGACGTAAAGTCACAGGTGAGATTACCCGCGATAGGGAGGAGGAGGACCTCGAGAATCTGGCAATATGCTTGTTTCAAGGCCTGGCCGTGCGAATTGACGAATAATCTCGCCACGGATTGTAAAAAGTCACAAGACCTACTCCAAACATCCTCTGGGGAGGTCCGGATTTGGATATGTCTCATCCCATATATAAGTAACTCCGCTTTCGCCTCCGCATCTTTTGCCGCTGCTAATCTGAAGTCATCCTTCTGAAACTGGCTTAATTCCGCAAGGAATCTGTTGGTAACGCTGGTAAAACTAGATTCACTCATGATACCCAAAAGTTGACCATATATACGCCAGTTTGCCATTCGAAGCGGCGATGCAGCAATTTGGTCCGGATCAACAGTTTTCAATTGCCCAAAAACAATGTCTTCTAGCCGCTCTGCCATCTCGGAAGTGATGGCTTGCAGAGTGCTCTGGTTGAAAATTTCGATCAACACGCGACAGACGAGGTATACAGAGACTGTAGCCCGGCGTTCAGCGAGTATTACGTCCTCTTGCCGCGATACAGGTGAGAGGTGCGAGCCGTTCGGCACAGCGCTGGAATCTTGACTTTCAGGCCCGGGATGCGTAGGTTCGGTATTACGGCGGGAAAGAGCGCCCACAAAAGGGGGCACTTGCCTTGCCTATCGTATGGGTTCAGCCAGGAGAAGGAGGAATGAATATAGGGGAATATAAATGGTCAAACAGCTTGGAGATATGAATATCTCAGGGAAATGCTTACCTGGCTGGCAGCGTGTTTAGCTGCAGACGCAGCTTCTCCCTTGGCCTTTCTCCAAACCATAATTGTATCTATCAAAGGCTTCGGTTTCCTTTTCGCAATGTGTCCCAGAGCGGAAATGAGTTGATCGAAGATAGGATCAGCACCTGGGCCGCAAATATGTTCCACAGGCGTGTCATATTCATCGATGCTTAAAATGCATTGATTGATTTTTTCATCTGCCTGGCCAACAAACTGTGAATAGGATATCGAAATTAGTCGGAATCGTCCAGGCATCTTCTCAAGAAAAGTGGGAGAAGAGAAAAACAAACCGAGTTGAATAGATGATGTAGAGCATATTCCCCGACAGTTCTCGCTTCCTGCGAATGTTTGGCAGAATGTGAGGGATGATGGGAATGGTCTCGTCGCGATTTCCCACTTGTAGTTGCTTTACGTTGGGAAGATGGCTCACTAGCCATTTCGGCCTGGTGATTATCCGGTATAGTTGCTAGGCTCAACGGCTGCATCTGGCCAGTGACAGGGGTTCCGCCCCCAGTATATCCAGCAGGGTATTCAAGAGGATCTCGTTTTCCATTCGAAGGTGGATCAATGACATGGGCAACCCCAAATGCTGCAGTCGCAATGGCCTCCGGACTTAGAGGGCTGGCAGTAGCGGAGGAAGCGGCAAAACTTGCATTCCTCGAGTGCTGGATGCTTCCGTGGACTATTGAGGCCTGACGATGGTGACCGTACGCGGAATTGGAAGGGCGTCTCTCTAGACCTTCGCCGTCCAGGCTGGTACCTGATCGTGTACCTACGGACTCGGGGCTTTTGGAGTGGGACTGGGTCCGTAGCCGTGGTTGTGGTTGTGGTTGTAGAGATTGAAGGGAAACCGGGGAAGAACCAGCAGCTCTCCCGCGCGGAGCAGATGGGTCTCGAGCATGGGATAATGTCGGAGGAGGAGGGTTTCTGGAGGCCAAACGGTCGGACGAGGAGTGTATGTTTTTCTGGGGGATGGGGAGAGCAGGTTCTTCCAGCCTGAATGGCAGCGCATGACCAGCACCAACCGGCCGCAGCGGGTGAGGACTGGCTGTGCACGAAGTAAGTAGATAGAGTTAGTTGTTGTTTCCGTTTCCAATCCCCAGTCAAATAGCAATGCATGGATGATATCGCTTTTTCATAGACATTGGAGTCGTGAGCAAAAAGTATATAGCTATATCTACTCCGCCTGTCGGGACGGGAGAAGCTTGGCAAGGATCTTCGAGAAACTTACAGGTATGTTGCATCTTCAACAACCTCCTCTAGCAACGGGAAGAGGGAAGAAGAACAAAACGGTATGTCCTCGCATTGTTGAGACCACAATCCATTACAAGACACGGGGGCACTTGGGCAGCGCGCGTTGGGGGAATGGCTAGCTGGTCTGGGGGGAGGAAGAGAGACAGATGGAGGCGAAGGATGCGATACATACCAGGACTGGCTTGGCTTTTTTTTTGGCACCAGCGAGGCGGTTTGGTTGCTGACTGACTGACTAACTACTAGTTAGTTACTACTACTACTACTACTACTACTAACCTAACTACGGAGTACTAGTTAACTACTACTACTTACACGCTGATGAGAGACCGACCCCCTTGATATAGGACCGGTGGGAGCTGGTTCATGCAGCCAGTTTCTTATTATTATTATTATTATTATTCTAATAATAGTTACTATTGCAGACTAAAAGAATCCTATCCTCCTGTTCTTAGTTGTGGCAGAAAACTTCATTTTCCCCTTTTTCAATTGAATCTTGATGTCACCATGGTGCAATACGAAACAGGCCATTCCACTCCGTCCTGCCAATGGCTGGATCCAGCAGCACTGTGATGCAAGTTCTCTCTACCCGCCATTCCGAAACCTCACACACTTTCACAAAACCCTTCGCGGCCTGCATTCGGTTTGGTTGCTAACTAGTAGTAAAACCCCTCGCAGTGCGCCCAAGATGAGTAGCAGAATTATGGATTTGATGCTGGCGTCCATGCGGGATTTGTCCACGTTCTTCTCTTCCCTCTCATCTGGGACCTGAAAACCGCCCGGAAACAGTGAATGGCCTGCTTCAGCCACCCTATCCATCGGTTGCGGCTATCTACTGGACGGATAACCTGACAGACCGCTGTTTTTAACTCCTCGAGTTGTGCTTGCTGTTCGTCTCTTGGTAGGTCTGACCCACCAGACGTTGATTGAATGGCAAATTCCTGAGCGCTTGTATGGTAACTAGTCTCCAGCAAACCCTCCATAAATAAGCAACGATTGGGATTCTTCCCTCATCAGAAAGCAGACAACTATTTATTACTAATTAACCAGCAGATCAATATCATATGGTTAACCGCTGTGCAGATTATGTACACATTAACAATGCACAGCGTTATTATTCTCTTTGATCTTGCAGAACCCCAAACTGCGTGGACAGCCGAGTTTGGGGTATTAAAACAAAAGAAATCGACGAATCTGGGAATGTTCGAGATCTGTACGCCCTAAACTATTATTATGCATCAGGACAGGACGTTGTTATTATTATCATCCCTGCATCCCAGGACAGTCAAATTGTCAAGGTCGACCGAGTTATGTACACAGTATAACAATAACAATAATAATGTGTAACTAGCCATACCAACCAACCGCGATCGATCGAGTTTGCATCCATGTCAACCTATAGCTAACTAACTATATATATCACTATCTCAGTGCCTCAATATATTTAGATTTAGAACCCCCAAAACCTCGAGCTTTTAATCATTCTAAACATGGAATCTGGCTTTGCAGACTTTTTTTTTAAAAAAATGAAGCGCCTGCTGATGACATGTCTCGATCGAAGAGATTGTTCAAAGAACAAGCTCACTCACTCACTCTAATCATGAGTTGGCCTGAGCCTCCAGTTGCATTGTTTGAAACAATATCTCTTATCAAAACATTGATCTATTTTTTAGCATAATGCGACACCTGACGATCAAGTGAGAGTTTTCAAGAAATACCTAAGCATTGTCAATAATAGTGAGTTAATCCGTACTCATGTTGAGAACCAATCCCATATCAATTTTTTTTTTCTCCTCCCCTTTCAACCCTTCAAAAGCTAAAAGTCGCAAAGCTCACAAAGCATGAAAAATATGTGAACATTCTTTGAAGGGTGCTGATTGATGGATCACTTAAGTTAGGTTAATTAGCCTGTATGTGTGAATCTCCAATTAGCCCATGAGGTCGATCAGAAATAAAAAAAAATAGAAATAGAAATAGAAAAAATAAAAAGGATTTGTCCTCAGCGTTACTATTGGGGTACGAGCGGTTATTTGGATCTCCCGTCACGCACTAGATAGATACATAATACTAATGAGTGCAACTTCGTCCAATAATTGAATATACATATTTTCGTTGCGGCCGTGCGCCTCGTGGAATGAGAAATTAGCGCTCAATACACATCATTACCCGGTGGGTGAACTCATAATTCTCCAGGGGCCTATTAGAATGACGCCTGTAGATATCATATTAATAACGGAATATGTGTTCGATTTCCCTCCCCGCGCATACAACCCCCTGTCTCTTAATGAACGTGGAAAGTGTCAAACTAACCATCCACATGGAGTAATATATCTCTAATGGATACAGCTTGGAATACATGTGGAACCCATCCCCCCCCCCCCCTACCCAAGCGCACGACGTAGCTCAAAGCGATCATCATCATCATCACAAGGGAAACAAGACGACCTGCAACTTTCCCGGAAAATGTCATATTCCCGCCCGACAGCGGGATAAAAACTGAAGTAAAAGCCGATGACGAACTTCATGACTAGCCAGTCAGTCAATCAACCGTACGGCAGCGCAGGGGTTTCACACTAGTCGTTGGAATGATCGTTCTCAAGAGAGGTACCAAAGAAGCCATGTCCCTGATGTCAAAAAATATAAATATAAATAAATAAATAAATAAATAAAAAGAAAAAGAAAAAGAAAAAGAAAAAGAAACGAAAAGAAATATAAAATAAAATAAAAATTGAAGCCTTCGGCCTGGATGATGCGAAAGTTGCATCAGCAGGACGCGGAATCGACGCGAGTTAGGTTTCGAGGATCCATATTTGTAACTGGCATAGGTAAAAAGGAGGGGCCTGGATTGTCAAATTAACGGATAAATAGATTTAAATCTTATCGCTTCCACGCTAAACAATTTGGTTAACCCGTGTGCTCGTCCTGCAGTCAAGGAATGGTAGTAGTCGGCCATCCTCGCCAGTTTAGGCTTAAGGAAGGCTTTTGGCAACATTCTGAGGGAAGAGGCGGATCTAGTGACCGAAAAATAACAGAGAACACCCAGGAATGTTGGCACCCTTGGAAAGGAACCACACGAAGACCGAAAACACGAAACACGCACGGGGAAAGAGAGAGGAACGAGTGTCAAACGAATCTACCCCGATAGAGGTTGCATGAGCATTTTGAAGAACGTTGTAAGGATGAAAAATAGGCCTGCAGCGCTTACCGTGATAACCACCCCCAAAACTACGTCAATGTATCATCAGCCCCGGCATCCTGGACACCTATCCCCCGTGTACGCCTCTGCCACGATAGTCGGACATGCACAGTTCCCTGTCTGGACGTTCCAGGTGTGCCCGCAGCTTCCTCTGAACCGTGTCTTGCACATGTTGAAAGTAGACTGAGTGTTGGAGTTTATTATCGAGATAGAAGTTGAAGGGCTCGAGGGGATTCGAGGGTATTTCTTCGGGCATATCTGACAACACCATAAACATGAGGAGGATGGACATACTTATGTCAAGGTGATCGAGCCTCTGGGAGACACCAAAGAAGAACTGCGCGGTAGGGAAGTCAGTGTGCGGGGTAGCCAGCACATCAGTGTGTGCGACATCAAAGTCGATTAATTTCAGTCTCCCGTGCCCAGTCACCAAGATATTATTGATCCTAATATCGCAGTGGTATATATGGGCAGTCTGATGCAGGTATTCAACTGTCTCCTGAAGAAACGCTGGCAGCATTTTCTTCACCAGTTCCGTTGTTGTAGGAGAAACAGGAGAGCGCCATCCGTAGAGCCTCTCCATTCCATACCCAGCGAAACGACCGTCAACAGTCACGATGCTCAGCAAACGGACAATGTTGTCGTTGCTTACTAGTCCCGATAGGATCGTAGCATCACGATATACCTTTTTGGTCTTCCACGCAGCGAGCTTGAACACTGTCTCCGGATGATCAGTGCCATCGCTGAATTCTATAGGTAAGCAGTCGCTCCACGTCCCATGCTGCATGGCATGGTAGTCAATCCGTGGGATATCAGGAAAGTCGCTGTCGGCAATAGGAATGGTGTTGCTATCCGTGAACCGCTTTTCATAAGTAACGGACTTGCCCTCCACTATTGTGGTATCATCAAGCAGCGGCAGTGAACTGAGATCGATGGACAGCGGCCCAGTGACGATTACTTGCTTTCCATCCTTGAACAGATAGCGACTGCCGCAGCACTCACTCACAGTCAGGAAACCATCAGTGGATAGTGTCATTTCCCTCTGTCAAAGGTGTCCAGCCAGGACGACAGCGATGATGCTGATACTGTACAATTAACTTAGCGAGTGACAGGAGGACTGACTAGAAAAGAAGGACATGGATGGATGGGGTATTTGAGAGGAGCAACACTGTCGCTCAAAAGGGTAGTTTATCCATATCAACCTTGGCAGTGTCATCTTGGGCCATCTTTTTTTCCCTCTGTTGAGGCTGGGAGCAGTGGTACAGCCAGTATCTATCTAGCACTATATTATGGACAGTCAGTCCCCCGTACATGAGAACAAAGAAATGGGAGATTTTTATATTCCCCCTCTTCTCCCCCCCCTTCTTTTTGGTCGACACGCCAACCACAGCGCCCAGCTCACATGGCAGGCAGTTGATCGGAACACTCTCTGAAGAAGATGATGCTGCAAGATAGACGTAGGAAGACGTGAGCATAACAGGAATAGAAACAGAATAATTCCGCCCGCAGACCAAGCCCCTAATTGTACCGTACAAGCAGTGTACTCTGTACTTGTACTAAATATGTTGCAAGTCCGGAGGAGTGGAAAATAAGCCCTTGCACACGCTAGAAATTTATATTATTGAAATCCCAAACTATGACCCCACCCCACCGGCAATAATGTGAGGTGCTTAGTTAGACCCTAAAAGATAGGCATGCAATAGTGCCCAGCCAGCTGAGTGATAGGCACAATAGGTGTCAACAGAGCCTGGAACCTCTCTAAACAGCTCAGGAGGATGGGTAACGTTAATAAATTAAAATACTTACTTACTACTTAATAAATTACTAGCGTGCACAAGTATTTATTTTCCACGCCTTCGTACATGTAGGAACGGCGGCCTCGGAGCTAAGGGAGTTGAAGCCCGTTGGCTGGCACCGCTCGGATAATATAGTTACATACATAATAATAATATAGCCATCCCATCCCCAGACAACACCTCTCCTCCACCACACACCTACCTCACTCCCTATCTTGTGCCCTGTTGCATACCTCCTCGTTCCTTGGTCGCGGTGTGTCCAGCTCTTCGCGAGCAGGTGGTGGTAATACAAATCTCTCTTGCTAATCTCTGTCACAAGCGCAGAAGGGCAATCGGGGACTTTGCCGGCGGCCTGTTGTCCATTTCCAGCGCTGACCTCTGTCTCTCTCTCACTCATTCTGAAAATTTATTTATTTAGCTAGTACGTTGTTATTTTTATATCATTCTATTTCCCGTTTTTACTGCTATTTCCCATTTCCTACATCATTGCAGGGGGTGCTCGTGCTCTCGGACTGACTTATATTTTTTTTCTTTGCTCAGGAACTCAACTGGCGATTTCCTCCGCTCATTCTTCTCCGACCCCCTATCCTCTTCTTCTTCTTCTTCTTCTTCTTCTTCTTTTTTTTTTTTTTTTTTACGGCTGATCGCACAACGTTTTCACAATGGCCCAAGTCGATACCTTGGACTTGGTGGTCCTGATTGCCATTCTCGTCGGTAGCGTCGCCTATTTCACCAAGGGCTCATTATGGGCCGTTGTCAAGGACCCTTACGCCACGAGCTTTACAACCGCGAACGGCGCAAAAGCTGGGGCATCAAGAGACATCATCGAGAAACTAAACGAAACCGGCAAGAATTGTGTGATTTTCTTCGGCTCCCAGACCGGCACCGCTGAGGACTATGCTTCCAGATTGGCCAAGGAAGGATCCCAGCGATTCGGTCTGAAGACAATGGTCGCCGATTTGGAAGATTATGATTATGAGAATCTGGATAAGTTCCCTGAGGACATGGTCATGTTTTTCGTCCTGGCCACCTACGGCGAGGGCGAACCTACGGATAACGCGGTGGATTTCTACCAATTCCTTACCGGAGAAGATGTCGCATTTGAGGGTGGCGGAGGAGCCGATGAAAAGCCCCTTTCCTCCATCAAGTATGTCGCATTTGGACTGGGAAATAACACTTACGAGCATTTCAACTCGATGGTACGAAATGTCGACGCCACAATGACGAAGCTCGGAGCGAAACGAATTGGGGAGGCCGGTGAAGGTGATGACGGTGCAGGCACAATGGAGGAGGACTATCTGGCCTGGAAAGAACCCATGTGGAAGGCTCTTGCTGAGGAAATGGGTTTGGAGGAACGAGAAGCCGTTTACGAACCTGTATTTTCTGTTATCGAAGAACCAGAAACGTCACCAGAAGCCGACCATGTCTACCTGGGCGAACCGAACTCGAACCACCTCGAAGGCCAGCAGAAGGGACCATACCACGCGCACAACCCGTTCATTGCTCCTATCGTCGAGTCTCGAGAACTCTTTACCGTCAAGGACCGCAACTGCCTACATATGGAAATCAGCGTCGAGGGAAGCAACCTCTCTTACCAAACCGGCGACCATATTGCCATCTGGCCCACCAATGCGGGAGCGGAAGTGGACCGGTTCGCAGCTGTCTTTGCAATTACCGATAAACGCAATATGGTTATCAAGATTAAGCCTCTGGACGTTACTGCCAAGGTTCCCTTCCCTACCCCGACCACGTACGACGCCGTTATAAGATATCATATGGAAATTTGCGGACCCGTATCCCGCCAATTCATCGCTTCTCTCGCGACCTTTGCCCCCGATGAAGCCTCGCGCAACGAAATGAAACGATTAGGAAGCGACAAGGACTACTTCCAAGAAAAAATTGCCAGCCAGTATATGAACATTGCCCAAGCCCTACAAAGTGTCACCCCTCTACCGTTCACAGACGTCCCATTCTCCCTACTTATCGAAGGTATCCCTAAAATTCAACCGCGATACTACTCCATCTCGTCCTCCTCCCTATTACAAAAACACAAGATAAGCGTCACCGCCATTGTGGAATCCCTCCGCATCCCCGGCGCCACACACAGCCTCAAAGGTGTCACGACAAACTATCTTTTGGCCCTGAAGCAGAAGCAGCATGGCGACCCCAACCCAGACCCGCACGGCTTAACGTATGCCATCAACGGGCCCCGAAACAAGTACGACGGTATCCACGTCCCTGTCCACGTGCGCCATTCCAACTTCAAGCTCCCCTCGGACCCAAGCAAACCCATCATCATGGTTGGGCCTGGTACCGGTGTCGCGCCGTTCCGTGGGTTTATCCAGGAACGCGCGGCGCAAGCTGAGAGGGGTGATACTGTCGGCCCAACTATCCTGTTCTACGGCTGCAGAAAGCGAGAGGAAGATTTCTTGTATAAAGACGAGTGGGAGGTATGTATTATCAATTTTTTTTTCTTTTACTTATTCAAACCCACCCAACCCAATCCACTCTTCCGCACCCAAAAGATAAATTTTTTACGCAGCCACACTAACCACCACCATCATCACCGTTAAAAATAAATTAGACCTTTGCCTCCAAACTCGGCTCATCCCTCCAAATCATAACCGCCTTCTCCCGCGAATCCTCGAAAAAGGTCTACGTCCAACACAAGCTCCGCGAACACGCCAAGCTCGTAAACGACCTCCTCCTCCAAAAGGCCAACTTCTATGTCTGCGGCGACGCAGCCAACATGGCGCGCGAGGTGAATGTCGTCCTCGGCCAGATCATGGCGGAGCAGCGGGGGCTGGCGCCGGAGAAGGGCGAGGAGCTTGTCAAGCATATGCGGAATAACGGGTCGTATCAGGAGGATGTTTGGTCGTGAGTAAGGGGGTCTGAGTTAGGGGGTCTGAGTTAGGGGGTCTGAGTTGGGTGATGATTGTTGGGGGCTTTGATTTTCTGTTTTTCATGAGTTGTTGATTGATATATATATATATATATATATATATATATATCACTCTGGTGTCGCATGGCATTCGCATGGCATGGCATGGTATGCATGAATATGTTTGGGTTTTCTATTTTTTTATTTCTATATTTTCATTTTCTCTTTTCTTTTTGATAGGATATACTTCTTCGTTTCTTCCTTCCTTCCTTTTCCTTTCTTTTTCCTTTTCTTTACCCCTCTTCTTGATTTCATCTTTCCATATACTACTTTTTTATAACTTCTTTGTTCTACGTTTTGTAAGTGATAACGCATAGATTGCATTGTGTCCCCTTTTCTCTTTCACTTTTTATTTCGGTTCTCGTTTTACATTTATACACCTCTCTGCTCAATTTTGCCTTTTCTGTTTCCATATTTTAGGTATTTAGGTATGCCTGCCTACACTACTGTACAACGATATTTTCTTCGACTGTGTCACAACCCAGTCATTCCGCTCCCAGTTCGCCGATGAATAAAGGTCACATGCACACGGCACAGCTGCCGAGGTCGCTTCGAGTGGTAGGTACCGACCGCTCTTTCCAACATTCGACGTTATTTATCTACTAAATCCATCGTCTACACTACAGAGACGCATGCGATGAAAGAATGCGTGGTAAATAACGAGCGAATGAGATAGCTATCCCCATACCAAATTGGACCACAAGACCAATTAATGGTTGATGCTCTTTGCTCTTTGGCATATTTTTTTACCTAGGTAAACCCACACCAAGGTCCAGCAATGGGCGTTGCGCCATATGCATCCATGCATATGAGAGAGGAACTTGTCCTGTGGGCCTTGTTATTATTTTGGACTTGCGGGGTGTGTAGGTGGTGTGGGTGGCTTTTTCTTTTTCTTGCCCGGCTCATTCGGGAAGACGGCGGTCGTACGAATTTCCAGACCGGTTGTTTTTTTTTTTGCTGCTGTTGTACGCCCTTTCCTTTTCCCGTGTTTCCCTCGTGAGTTCTGACTCCTTTTGGGACCCGTTGTCTGTTGCCGTTCCCCTGTGGCTGGTCCACTTTACTGGGGTTCCGGAATATTTTCCGCTGAGATCGGTGCCGTTTAATCCGGTAGGGCAGCGGTGAGGGAAAAAGATTAAAATTAAAAAATTAAAATTAAAAAGAAATATGGAAAAGGGGAACACTGTCACGGTTAATTCAAAGGGTGTCTTGAAGGATAGAGTTTCTTTGTTCACCTCGTTACCGAGAGGAGTTGACTAACTCACAGTGTTCGAGCAATAGGTAAGTTAATGCATTGACTAACATGATATAGCGGCGTATGATGTCGAACAGCGGCCCGAGTAAGCAACTAGCAGAGTTCCTTCTGGACAGTGATGACAACCCCTTTGTCAAGATGCACATTTGTGTCTCTCTTGTATATATTCCAACTCGACCTCAGAGGAGAGTTTGCCTCGATCTCGCTCATCCTTCATATAGCCACTCCCTGTGTGTCGACCGCTCAGGTGTGGCCATAAATGAGGTTGGAGACTTTTTTTCTTTTTTGACCATGGGAGGTACTTCCATGCATCGTCCATAATACCCGGCTGCCACATAGTTCAACTATGTGGATGTTGCATGTTTCTTTCTCTTTTTCTGACTTCTGAGAATGCTCTCTGGGTACGTTTTCCCTGTCTCTCAGGGCAGGTGTATCTCTCTCTCTCCGTGGGGCTTGTTGCCAACCCGTGTGCTTTCTCCATAGAGGATGGGATGAAAAGGAGGAGTCTCTCCTTCCCTCGACTGGAAGCCCAGAGGTCAGAGACACTGTAAATACAAGCAGTCGTCGTTTCTATAGGCAAAACCCCGGTCGAAAGCATGTTAGCAGCCTGTCAAATGTAAACAGCCTGCTGGGGAATGGTAGATATATATGGGCCGGAAGGACTATACCACGAATACCGTGACAGTGACAGGCCAGCTGATTCTTTCCCTCTGTTCTCCAGTTGGCAGTAGCAGAGCAGAGTGGTGGTGCCTACTGTGGTTGAGTGAGTGAATTCCGCATGAAATATAAAAAAGGGGCAGGGCAGTTGTGTTGTCCTCGTTGCAGTTAGTGACTGGCGGTGGTTTCTGTGTGTTGTTGATGTTGTTGTTGCTGCTACCGAGAGTGCAGCGTGCTTTCCCTGGCCAACACCCACCCAGCCCCAACCCAGCTATAAACCTCTCGTCTCATCTCTTCTTCTCCCTTTCTCTTCTCTCCCTCCCCCGGCCATCACCATCACCATCCTCATCATCCTCACCATCCTCATCATCCTCATCCTCATCATCCTCATCATCCTCATCATCCATCTCAATCACTTCCTCTCGCTCTGTTTAGCATCATCATCGAGACTAGCCCAGCTCCTGCAAAGCTGCTAGCTTCTCTCGCTTTACACCATTGCCCCTTTTTCCCCCCTTATTCATCTCTAACCTCTTCATTCGTCCAAGTTCAGTGCAGTTCTTTCGTTGATCATTGTTGCTCCTAGCATCCGTTTCTTCCTTTCATTCTAGCCTTGCCTGTTTCTTCTTCTCCTTGTGCTGCGTGGTCGTCGTCTTTGTCTATTACTCTCTGTACCACTGCATCCACGGCCTTTACTGGGTTCCTACTCCGTATCCACAGGGCTTGTTCAGGTGTAGTATTCTATCTACTTATTAAACCTTATCCATTAGGCCATATACCTGTTTTCTTACACTTTTGTGCTCACTAACATGGATATCTTGGAGAAGCTCGGTATTCTCGCCGCAAAACCTGGTCTCAACGGGTCGTCTGCTACGCCATTTATTCAGGTAAGTACGATATTCCATGTACTTCGTGGCTGCCCGCTTCGCTCGTTGCTTCTATCCCTGTTCTCTTGTCCCTGTGGAGTCGAATCTATCGTTTAATTCCACTACCAATTATCCCTCCTACCTGAGCCATTGGCTTGCAATAAGACTTTCGACATCTTGTCCCACGACCTATGTGAAAAAAAATTGAGGTCCTTTAAGGAACTTGAATATTTTTTCTTGTGTCAGCCTAGCTCTTTAGGTCCACTGACCCCTAGAATGACATTTAGAAATCCCAATTTGCAAATATGCAAGCCCAAACTCAACAGCAGCAACTGCCTGGTGAAGCTAGCGCTGCCCATGCACAGAACCAGCCAGCTTACAACATGGAACATCAGAACCGTTTCTATCAGCATGTTCCTCAGACTAGCGGGGTAAACGGGAGTATGAGGGATCCCAATGTTCAAGCTATTACCCACGCTGTTGGAGGCCTGAACTTGCAAAACCAGCGTCACAATGGCAAGTTTGTAGCCTTCAAGGGAAATCTCCATGCTTCTCACGGTAGCAGCGGTGATATGGCTAGTATTCAGCGTCCATATAATGGGCAATACTTGATTGTGCCTAATGGAAGTATGTTTGGTGGTGTGCCCACGGCAAATCAGTATGGACAACTCCATGTTCAGGCTACTGACCAAGGTAATTCAGTACCATATTTACCTGCGGGATTATACCCGAACTTCGTAACTGCCCCCTCGGTGGTTCCAGGTTCTGTCCCAGGATACACCTGGCCCTATGCTATGAACGGTGACGCACCTGAACTTTCCGGCCCTCGCCGTGATTCTTGGTCTTCAATCGAGGAAAATCATCCTTGTACTCCGGGGGTTGATCAAGCTGGCCATCAGGAGTGCTACCCTGCTGTTGCACCGACAGATCGTTCCCCAATGTTGTACAATTATGGCACTCCGTCTCCGTCAATGGTACCTCCTCAACCATATCTCCCCTACCAGATGATGAAGGGTGCCGGCGGTTATGTACTGCAGGACCTTGATGCTTTGACGCAGCAGGATCCTGCAATTCCACGTGCAGTGCCTGCCATGTGGACCAACCCCTCGGACCTCACCCTGGCTAAATGCCTCGAGAACAGAGAGGGTATCACCAATGTCTATATTCGGGGCTTCCTACCCGAAACAACAGATGAGATGTTGCATGCGTATGCATCTCGTTTCGGAAAAATTGATCGCTGCAAGGCAATTGTTGATCTTGAAACTGGCCTTTGCAAAGGGTTTGTATTGCCTTCCACAGTGGTTTCCGAATGGATATATTGCTGATCACTCATAGATTCGGTTTCGTTCAATTTTTCAGCTTTGATGCCTGCGAGAACTGCATTCGAGGTTTCTTCCATCTAGGCTATCAGGCCAGTTTTGCCCAGGTATGTCCGCCTAAACTACCCAAACAAAATCTACCAGAGTCAAAGGAGAGACTAATAAACTATAGAAATCTCGTAATTCTCGACTGAAGGATCTTGAAGACAAGAGTTCTACTAACGTCTATTGTACTAATGTTCCTATCGACTGGGTGGAAGCGGTGAGATTTCCCATATATATCCGTATCATATCTTGTATTTCTTTCCTGATGAACTACTAGGATTTGCGTCGCCATTTTCAACCATATCAAGTTGTTTCAGAGAAGATCAGCCGTGATGAGAAAACTGGCGTCAGCAAGGAAGTTGGGTTTGCCAGGTTAGCGATTTCGCCTTCTAAGCTGATGATATTTTGCAGACGCTAATCTGTGCTGTTTGTTCTAAAGGTTTGAGTCTCGCGAAATTGCAGAAAAAGTTTTATCTCAGTTCCACAACATCACAGCTCAAGATGGGGTCAAACTTCTCCTCCGCTTTGCGGATACGAAAGCGCAGAAACAACTCAAGTTGCAGAGCAATGAACGTCGTGCTTACCGTGCCGGAGAATACAACTATTCAGTCGAAATGGTCAATGGATCTACGCCGTCGCCCACGCTTCAGCGTTTGCAACAGACAGCCTCTCACTTTAGTCCAAACTCACAGGCAAGCTTCCCTTCTCCTTTGGGGCCTGGTCCTGTCTGGACACCTGCAACCTCAATATCCCCACCGTAAGTTAATCCAATCCATTTCTCGCATATATAAAGCTGACGGCCATGGTAGTGGCCCAATGATGAATAAGTCTGTGAACAGTCTTCGTCTTAACTCCTGGGGACCACGCAGTAATGGAAATATTGAGAACACTCCGACATTCCGCGGCCGCCCAGCTTTCAATTCTCAGGGTTCATATGGAGATAGCCTCTCCACTGGATCTTCCAAGACAGTTCTCCCCGTTTCAGGCGGTGTGACAAGATCCGAGAATTCCAGCCCCCGAAAGGAAAACTACCGTGCAGGATCTACTTCTCCACTTGGTCGACGGAGGGAAATTACTGTTGCGACCCCGAAATCGTCCACTTAGAGATTTAAGAGGCTGCCGGCTTCTGTTTTGAGTCTTACCGGCTCTGTATGAACGATTAATTTGACCAACTTCGCCTACGGCTATCTGGTATGGAGCTATAATAGGTGTTGCATCGTCAGTCACACGCAGTTACGATTAATGGATAACGACTCACGGTATCACGGAAAAACTGATTGTATTGAAATATCCTCACAACAAGATATACGATATCTCTTCTCTCCTTTTACCTGTTATCTTCGGTGGTCAGAAAGTCATTCTTTTATCTAATGCGTGCCCAGGGACAATAGTATCAATCGCAGATATTTCATTTCCGGCGCGTAACAGTTCAGCGTTGCATACTATTTGCTTTTGGCGATTGCCAGTACGATGTTTGACAGAAATTTTTTTGATGTTATCGGCTTTATGGTATGGGGGCATCTCTAGCACTACATAGTGCCATGTCTGCTTATGATGAGGGATGAAGATGGATGATTACACGATGTTACGAACTTCGGTTTAAGAGGCGGATGTGTACGCCAGTGATGAGACAAGTGATGGGGCAATTGCCTTGACTTATTTTAGCTTTTAGCATGTGATTTTACAAATAGCAATAATGGAACTTCAATTTGCTCATAGTATAGAGGTGAGAGGTAGTAAGTAGGTTAGATCTTACCGTGTCAATACGATTTCAACTGCCCCCGTGCGAATTATCAGAAGGAGTAACTAATATAGCAAAACCCTCTTCTGCATGTAGGTGCAGTAGACAACAGAAGCAATTTAGCCAATACTGCTGCAGCGGACCAGCAGCCAAAGGCATATGCCAGATACCTATATTCAAAACATAACAATCCTTCTATTTGCATATATTCTCTATGGGCTACTGTACCTCTCTATGTATACAAATATGACAATAACTAGAATAGTGAAAGACACGGCCCTTCTCCCCCGCTACACAGCCAAGGCCAACCCATACCCCTGAGCTAGGGGAAAATAATATATGTAATGTATAGAACTCGATAGCGGGGTCTTTCGTGTTTCCCTCCCTTCCTCCCGGACAGCTAGTTCGGAGCTTGGATCAACGAAGGATAGTAATTTGCTTTTCGCTCAGGCAACCTAGTCTCACAGACATGTGGGTGCGGAAAGCAAGCTGGCTAAATGGGAGGTATTCCCAACTGGCAATGAAAAGCGGAGGGTGAATGGAGGGGATGTCAGGAGGATTGTGGGATCGCTTTTCCAGGAGTGTATGTACGCGTCCCTGATCCCGTTAAAAAGAAGGTTCGGCTTTGTTTTGTTCAGGACCCGTGCAGGTGTATTGTTGTATATTCGTATTCGTATCTGGGGGTGTGGGTTTCGGACATCAAAAGATGTAATAAAAATAACATATTCTAAATATACGACTGGCCTGTCGTAGGGGGTTCCATGTGGCGCGTGGCGTGTGGCGCGTGGCGTGTGGGGCATGTAGGAAAACGCCACATTCAAGAAAGAAAGCAGTGTGATGCTTATAGAGAAATCGGCATGGAATCTAAGATTGTTTGTCTAGGTGTCGCGCGCGCTGTGATTTTGCTCACAAATGTCTCATGTGAGGTGCGATATATATATATATATGTATATATATATGCGGCGTATGCAGTACTGGGAGAGATAGGTTGTTAAAAACGCCCGCAGAATGTAGGAACAATGAAACTTGAACATAATAATAGTGCGCTAAACATTGCGGCTGCGTGCGGCCTTTTATTCACCAATCCCGCCCCAACCGTTCTTCGTCGTCATCCATAAGCTCATAGGCAGGTCTGTACCGAGGCTTTGGCAGGGAAGAGGACTGATCATCATTCGAGTTTTTATTGTCTATTATCTTCAACTTCGGGTTGGGATGCGTGTCATTCGTCCCGCCGAGGCTGGTGTATCCCTCGTCATACAGAGGGCAATACTCAATCCCTAGATGCCGAATAAATGCCCATATTTCCGCATAATGCCAGTCGATCACAGGGTGTATCCGCACAAAGTCAGGCCAGCCGTGGTCTGTGCGATCGAAATGAGTTAGCTTCTCGCCATGCGGATCTGTGCGGCGGGTGCCGACAAATATGGCGCGGATTTGCGGATGGTGGTCTAGGTAAGAGGCGAAGACGGTGCGGATGGTGGAGCAGGGCGGATCGGTGGTGTAGCGGACTAGGGAGAGGTGGTAGGTGTGGGAGGAAGAGGCCACAAAGTCCTCGACGGACCGGAAGGGGTGGTGGGGCTGTGCGTAGATGGCGGGTATTGTGGTTCGGGGAGGAGTGCGTTTGCCATCTTTTGATACAGTTTCAGTCGTGGGGAGTGGGTGAAGGCTGGCTAGGAATATGATGAGCATTACTAGACAGTCCTTGCCGCCGTTGTAGGACAGGGAGAGTTCATGTAGGGAGAAGCGATTGAGCGCTTCTTGCATGACGCTGAGGGAGATACGGGTTTGGTTCTGGACTTTACAGAGAATGCTGGAGGCGTCGTGCGATTCGGAGAGGAATGAAGTGACTTGTTTATGGAGGTTTGCGATCACGGTGGAGAGGGGGGGATGCGAATGTTCTTCGTGAAGCTCTTGACATTCCTCCGCTTGCGCTGGGGTTTGTATAGGGAGGGTTTTTCCAGTGGTAATGTGATTGCTCCGTAGAGGTTGGGTCTGCCCATTTTCTGGTGATATATGGCTCTCTTTGATGGATTCAACACCGTTTGAAAGCAGTGCATCTCCAGCTGCCGTAGTGGATGGAGCGTTCGTCATGGGGATGAGCGGGGCTCGCGCCAGCCAGGTGGTGGAGGGGAGCAGACAAGGACCGATAGGGCAAGATCAATTAGAAGCCTGGTGACGAAGAGGACCTGATTGAAGAGTTGTTCAAATGCCTATACGGAAGACAAAGTGCAAGGAGCAGTAGACAAGGCTAGGGGGAGATGTTGCGTGCTTCGCCGACCTCGCACCGAGTGTCCGCTTGGGGGAGGTTTTTTTTTCTTTTGTGACGTTGAGTTGACATCGGCAAACCGGGCGCTGATGCTGGCTTAGTCACGGCTGTTTCAGCCGAGGAGCTGCAGCAAGAGCCGGTCGGTTAGTTAGAAAAAAAAGTTACAACCTGTGCTTCAAGTCCGTACTCTTAAGATAAAATATATCTCCACTCTAGCTACTGTTGTTCAAGGGTATCGAATTTTATGATTCTATTTTAATTTTACATATAAATTAATGGGTAAGTTACAGGGCCATATATCCTTTGCGTCGTTGGCAAGCCGTGACATCCCCCGAAAAAAAAAAAAAAAAAAAAAAAAAAAAAAAAAAAAATCTCCTAGCCCGACTAACCTAAACATAGAAAACGGGAGAAATATATGCAAGTGACAGGTACGATTCCAAGTTCAATACTCTAGAATTGCCCAGGTGTTATCATCTACGGTAGGGTATATCAACCCGTGGCTCAGCAGCTCTTCACTTCCCTTGAACACTTCACCAACAGGCAAACCCATCATTGACGCCAGATTTTGCACGTGAAGTCCTTCGTTCCCCTGCGGCGTATTGCTCAAAGTCTCATACACCTTCCGTGCCAATGGCGACATTGGAGGTAACGTCCTTCCGCCGAGAGGATCCCCACCGCTCGTACTTGCCGCACCAGGCGGCGCATTCCCACCAGGTTGACCACCGGTTGGGCCCCTTGTATAGTATAGGTGAATGGCTGTAGCTTCAAGAAAATGGCAATGATATTCATCCATACTCGTTATGGGGCGGATGACATGCGCGACAAAATTCCGTCGATTGTTGAAGTTGTTAAGCTTCCCCCAAACCTTGGCGTATCCGTTGACTTGGATCTCCGATTCCGAAGAGCGTGAAGCGTCTCCCGTGTCCATATCGTCTCCTGTAGGATTGACTGCGTTCTTTTCCAGCCATAATTTTACTTCAATTTCCCCCGTCCCGTCATCAAGCTTATATGTGACGAATGTGGTTAGGTGGCTAACGGCGCGGACCTGGCCGACGAACGCTAATTGTGATACCTCCGTGCCATCAATTTTAAAGTCTGCGTCTCCGTGTGCTTGGGTAGCTTCCAATGTCTGTTTTATTGTTACAGGACGAAGTGAGTTTTTCACATAACCGCCGCCCTAATACGAGGAAAAAGAATGTTAGCCCTGGGAAGGGGATACCTTTAGGCAAACAGCTGCTGGCAACGAGGAAAGTGAGGGTTGCTTCAGTGTTAATATAGCATTCATACCTTTCCTTCTGACTGACTGCCTCCTTGGCTGCCTCCTTCACCACCTGTAAAACCCCCTCCTGCCATGCCGCCTTGGGCACCATATGAGGTGTATTGGTCGCCATCTGCGAGGGAGTATATTAGCATTTAGGAAAAAGTAAACAAAAAGGCAAGAGGATACCAACCCATAGTCGCGGTAGGAGGCGTACTTTGTAATAAAATGGAAGGGAGTGGAAGGATGTTGTAATTTGATTCTGCTATTCGATTTGTCCTGATATCTTTTAATTCCCCGCCTTGATTGAGTCTCGTGAAGACGTGTCAGTCACGCGTTTTTGGCGCCGGGGAATTTGGCGGGGGAATGGTCGGAAATCGGAGGAATGTTGTTCCTTCACCGCCTTCCCTTTGCAGCCTTTTCGGATTTTGACGCCGGAGAGAAAAAATAGTTTCTCGAACTGCGCAACAACTGCGGCGAATAGGGTCGGTTGCTCTATCAAAGTGACGGTATGTATCTTGGTTATTTGGTTTTCATTTAACATAATGCGGCAGCGGCTGACATGTTTTGTTTCAGTCAACAGCGTTTTCCCTTCTTTATATTCTGCAGCCACCCACCCGTCATGATCTAAAAGGTACAAAGTTATCTCAGGAGAATTCCAGACCCGGGCTCAAGGATTGCCTTGGATATCCTAGCTTGGTAGAGTGGCATATGCAATCCGTGGCCTGCATCCGTTTCCAATGACCATGTCTCATCGAGATGTGTCCCCAGCAGCTTCGGAGAATGAGTTCGATATCTCAAAGCTCCTCTTTAAGGGGGACGATGATGTTCTCGACCTCGAGAAACCTTCGAAAAAGCGAAAACCACAGGAAAGTTTGAACCTTGATGTTATGGGCGACGATGATAGTGGCGATAATGGCGACGAAGCCTTCATTGCTTCTGAGCAAGCAGCAGCAAACCGCAAGGCCTCAAACCTGAAAGGCCGGACTGTAAAAAAGGGCGGAGGTTTTCAATCCATGGGACTTAACGCAACTCTTCTCAAAGCCATTACGCGGAAGGGGTTTTCTGTTCCAACGCCCATTCAGAGGAAAACAATTCCACTTTTGTTGGATGATCAGGATGTTGTCGGGATGGCAAGGACAGGATCGGGGAAAACCGCAGCATTTGTGATTCCCATGATTGAGAAGCTGAAAAACCACAGCGCCAAATTCGGGTCTAGGGCATTGATTTTGTTACCCTCCAGAGAATTGGCCCTACAAACTCTCAAAGTCGTGAAGGAATTGGGTCGTGGGACGGATCTAAAATCCGTTTTGTTGGTTGGCGGTGATAGTCTTGAGGAACAGTTTGAATACATGGCAGGTAACCCGGATATCATTATTGCCACGCCTGGACGCTTCCTTCATTTGAAAGTGGAAATGTCTTTGGATCTGTCAAGTATTCGCTACGTTGTCTTTGATGAGGCGGACAGGCTGTTTGAGATGGGCTTTGCCGCACAGTTAACCGAAATTCTCCACGGCTTGCCTTCTTCACGGCAGACACTTCTATTCTCTGCGACTTTACCTAAATCATTGGTGGAATTTGCTCGAGCAGGTCTCCAGGAGCCAACTTTGATCCGTCTAGATGCGGAAAGCAAGATCTCTCCGGACCTTCAAAATGCGTTCTTCACAGTGAAGTCTTCTGAGAAAGAGGGCGCTCTATTACATCTTCTTCACGAGGTTATCAAAATTCCCACGGGCGAGACAGAAGCGCATAAACGTGCTAAAGAGGAAGCGAAGAATCCGAGGAAACGGAAGCGGTCGGAATTCGCTTCAAATTCCCATAAAGAATCGCCTACGGAACACTCTACGATTATATTCACGGCTACGAAACATCATGTCGATTACCTTGTATCAATACTTCGGATATCTGGCTTCGCTGTGTCGTACGCATACGGTTCCTTAGATCAAACCGCTCGCAAAATTGAAGTCCAAAATTTCCGTTCCGGAATTACGCATATCCTCGTCGTAACAGATGTTGCAGCACGAGGAATCGACATCCCTATCCTTTCTAATGTGATTAACTATGATTTTCCTTCGCAGGCTAAAATTTTTGTTCATCGTGTGGGACGGACTGCTAGAGCTGGTAAGACTGGTTGGAGTTACAGCCTCATCCGAGAGTCAGATGCTCCGTATTTACTCGACCTGCAGCTGTTCCTCGGTCGACCTTTAATTCTAGGACGAGGTTCAGGCCAGCAACTCAACTACACGGAGGATGTGGTTGTAGGTAGTTTGCCTAGGGATAAGGTTTCTCGTTATACTGAATGGGTGTCCAAGCTGCTAGATGAAGATGTTGATGTTGAATTGCAGCGCGAAGTTGCGATGAAAGGTGAAAAGTTGTACATGAGAACAAGAAATTCAGCCTCTAGTGAAAGCGCTAAGCGAGCAAAAGATGTGGTTGAATCCGATGAGTGGCTGATGGTGCATCCCATTTTCAGTGATGAATCCAGCCGATTGGAGGAGGAAAGGGAGAAGATGCTCGCCCGTGTTGGAGGTTACAAACCACAAGAAACAATCTTTGAGATTGGTGGCAGGCGTGGGGGAAAGAACGGGAACGATGAGGCGATTGATATGATGAGAAAGATGAGGTCGACATTCGCATCTAAGAGAGCACGAAAGGAGTCTGCGATCAAAAGTGCGCACCTTGGCAACAGTGGAGGCGCCGCTAATGACAATCTACCGAATGATAATGACAGTGATGATGACGGCTTGGCTGACTTGGGCGATGAAAATGATAATGCGATTACTGCCGACAATATGTCACTCGCATCTGATTCAGAACTTGAAGTCACGTTCTCCTATCCACAATCTGGCAAATCGAAATTGAAAACGGACGCAAACGATTCAAAACCTGGGGAGTCATTCCACAACCCAGAGTATTTTATGTCATACACACCTGCATCCAATTCCCTGGCTGAAGATCGGGCGTACGGAGTCCATTCTGGTTCAAACACCAATTTTGTTGAAGCATCACGCGGTGCCACTATGGATCTTGCCGGCGACGAAAGTGCTGCGCGGGGCTTCGGTGAACCACGCTCCATCATGCGCTGGGACAAACGCCAAAAGAAGTATGTATCGCGCCGAAACGACGAGGATGGGTCGAAAGGAGGTAAAGGTGACCTTCTCGTTCGTGGCGAGAGTGGAATTAAGATTGCTGCGAGCTTCCGAAGTGGGCGATTCGATGCGTGGAAGAAAGGGAAGAGGATTGGCCGTATGCCAAGGGTCGGAGAGGCGGAAAACCCTGGCCTTGCTTCTGGTATGCCTGGAGGCAAAAAGTACAGACATCGCAAGGAGCAGGCGCCCAAAAACCCCGACAAGTTCAGGGATGACTACGAGAAGAAGAAAAAGAAAGTAGAGGCTGCGAAGCAACGCGAGACTGAGAAGGCATTTGATCCCTCTTCCGGTTCTAAACAGGTCGGCGTTAAAGGCCGTGAAAAGAGTGAGCTTAAGAGTGTTGAGGATATAAGGAAGGCCAGAAAGGTGAAGGAGTTGAGGAAACAGAAAAATGCGCGACCTTCAAATAAGGGTAAGGGGAGAAAGGGGAGATAGTGGAGGAGATTTGATATCCCTCATATTAGTCACGTCACTAGACTTGGATTTTAGCATTCTGACCTTTATTCGCAATTGAAATTTAACTAAAAAGCCCTGCTCTGTTATTTTCTATTTGCTTTGTATTCCCACCTTCATCGATCACCCTCTTTGTCTACAGCTCAAAACAGGCAGAGGAATCACTTTATGCGTAGCAGGACTGAGAGGCCGAGAAGTAACGTGATTTACTTCTGGATTTATGGTAGCTCACTGGTCACTCCAGTAGTTGTTGGTATGGTGTGCTTCATTTTTCACCAGGGTTGCGAGGAAAACATTGCACCCCTCAGGTATGGAATTCAACTTTGGTTCCCGCCGTTCTTGGACGCCAAGTTAACTCATCTGCATATCTAACCGCCGGGCTCTTTTTTTTCTCCCTGCACGCAGATGCCTTTGATGCATGGTGCTAGGCTCCGTTTGCCAAGTATATTCTCCTGTCATTTGTGCAACAATGTCTAATTTCATATAATAGCTTGGGGAGGGATGGAGGGAAGAATATGGACATCCTGACATTCAGTATGGTATGTCCTCCATGCGGGTGTGGCCATCAGTTTGATTTTAAACGGGATGCCTGTGCCGTACTTTTGGCAGATAACTAGTTCCTCTCAGTCAAGAATGTTTTGGGGCAAGCAAATTCGGGACCTTTCATTACTTTTCTCCCGAACTGTATATCCAGCCCGGGGGGAAACACGAGAACTGTTAGGAGGTACGGTTGCCCCAATTCTCCCATGAGCTCCTAACCCAACGCTCTCACAATGAGCGATTCCTCCTTGCTTGCATCGATCATTTCACTGAATGCCCAATTGGTTGTAGTGTAAATATGCACAACATCGCGTTGTCTCACCGTATAGAACTAATTCGGCCTATTCCATTTACTCGGTCCCTTGACACGGCATCATAGAATATAGCATGTGATCGGGAGGTGGAAGCGGTGTTCTTACCTTACCCTGGTGTCGGATTGTCCCCTAGGGCTATCAAACGATTGGCCTTCTTGAACTGCATGGATCTACGTGCGTTCCACGGTCATGATGGCTTTAAAGATTTCATTTCTGCTTGAGCTCCCCGCGCTGCCGCCTGTTCCATTTTCGACCTCTTTCTGGTCCACATCTTTATTGTTTCCTTTTTGCGCAATGTTGTTCATGGGTGCAACCGTAGGTTCTTTATGGGAGCTCGAATGAGCGTGCATGGCAGTTTGTACCCACTTGTGCTACTCGGAAGTACTCTGTGTCACGTTCTTCTGCCATGAGCTTACGGGAAAGATTAACCTTGCATGGAGTTGAATTTATGAATTTTGGCCTGGACTGCAGACTGTTCTGTCTCGTTCGGTGTCCTGTGCAGACAATGGCAAGGTCAGGTATGTACAGTACAATGGCAAACTTGAACAACCTTACAGATTCACATACAATGCTAGGTTCCACCATAGTAATCCACCTTGGAATCAGCTTTGCCAATGCGATATCTGAAATCCTCTCTCGAAAACACACGTTATTTCCAGACGTTGAATAACGGTCGGGCGTGGATCCACATTCTTCAAGCTATTGTACACGCAGCTAAATGGATACTATATTGGCAACACTATCGGAGAAACCCAGCCAGCAACCAAATATTTCAATATGAAATCAAGTTTATCCCTCTACATTCTGTCCCAGTATTCTGTTTGCATTCCCGCTAGCCACGTGAAATTTGGGTCTTACCAACCAACCACGATCAAACGAGTATCTCTACAATACCCTCACTCTGATACAATGTGTGACCATCGTAGGGGCATGGAAGCTGCTGGGCATACCCACTCGGCTAGTAACCCGGAGAACTTCTATTGGAAGGAGAACTCAAAAAAGGCAACGCCAGTGGGGATATGAGAAAAACACCATACAACATCTAAAGCAAATCGACAAGTTGTCCGAGGTTTCCGAGGAGCCCATGTGATTCCCAACACCTATTATGCCTTCAGGATTTCTATTCTCCAACCTGAGGAGGCGATCACGCATGCTTATCTATGCACAGGATGCACCGCTGTATGGTACATGTACATCCCTAATAGGAGTTTCTGGCAGGCGCTACAATACGCATGGGCGCACATCATCCTGTTCCTCATCTCGATTGTAGCGAACTGCAGACTATATGGGTCAGCATATCAACCTAGCCACATGATTTGGGATAGAATGTGGCTCTAAATTGTGGATGAACGTCCACATGCAAACCACGTTTCTCCAGAATAACGAGCTGGCGTGAAGAAAAAATCAGTCTAGAAGAGAGCGAAAGCAAAAGAAAGACAAATCAGACCGAATCCCCTATAGTGGTAAATGGATTCAGCTACTGGCCTTGTTCGGCTGGAAGTATTTTGTGGAGGATACGGAGCTTCATGCTGGTCGTTACTTTGCTCAAGACCACGCACAAGCAAGGCGCCTTAGCCAGCTTCTCCTATGCCAGCTGTCCGGTATCTGTGGAGGAAAAAAAATAAAAAATAAAAAACCAATAAAAATAAGGCAGGGGGCCGCTCCACAGACCCGACGTACTCGATTCCAACGACGGTTATGGGCCGAACGGGTATTTCCCCTGTTCTTTCTTCATGCAATGAAGAGGAAGGATGCACAGAGGGCCGACACCGGGTATGCATGAATTAGAGTTGAGAGCGGTTTGCTACCATACCATGCCTAGATTGGTATATGAGTCTATTCCCACTCTGGGATGTATGAGGGCCTTTTATGTAACATCCAGTTCGGGTTTCTGGCATAGTTTGTTAGATATATACCATTAGAATTCGATGCATATATAAACGAAAGCCAAACCTCCTGTATTTTTTAGGTGGGAGGCGGACCATTTTAGAAGTCGTGGCAATCCTCAAACGGGCTGAGCGGGGAAACCAAGGTTAGAACCTGGCGAAAATATTTCATAGTAGCGTTGTCCTGGGAAGGCCTGGTATCACTATAATAAGGGTAAACATATGTATACTTTCAGCGTGCGGTGCCAAATTCCCGTGCATATCTCTCGGCAAAAAATATAGAAGTGTATACTATCAGAAACCGAGTGAAAGATGTCGTAGCAGTGTGAAGAAAGCGAGCAGGAAATAAATAAAACCATAAGATGCAAAACGCAAAAGGGTATCATCTGGAAAAGACGTTAAGATATGTAAAAGTATGAAATAGAATGAAATACTAGCACATAGATATAAAATAACAAAAGAAAGCTGCACATCAACAAGGGAGAGATTAAAACTAGAAAAGCAAAAAAAGAAAAGAAGGGAATAAGGTGCCACTTCCCAGGCGTACACGTTTATATATGTGGCCTTGCAGAAATAGCAAGTAGCAAATAAAAAGAAAAGGCTGAGCCAGCATGATAACTCCAATGTAAACAAGGGGTATTCCGACCGAAACAACAAAGGCTAAGAATAAGAAAACGCAAAAAGAAGAGGAAGAATAGTTTCCACAGGATATAGTTTACCGGTATGGGCATAGATATTTGTATCGGGTATGGTATGCGTGCTCTCCTTCATAAGTAGGGTAGGACAAAAGTTAACGGCGTAGGAGTCGGTCTGATCTATGTTGTCTCCCTCTTACTTCTGGCAAAGCGAAAAGTGACAACAAAACAAAGGGAAAAAATAACAAAGGGAATTTTTTATAATTTGGCCCGTGTCTCTCATCCTATATTATTGGGTAGTTTTGTGCCCATTCTTCGGAATTCGTTTATTGCTATGTCATTTCTTCCATTCGTATCTTCGAATTCGATTCTTTTTTTCTTTCTTTTTTTTCTTTCTATTTGTGTGTAAACCAAACCGTACATCACTTCACATTAGGGAGTTAAAAGGAAGAATTAGTCATTGACCATATCTCCTAGAGCCATCTTGTGTCTTTTTATAGGTCGAGATTCTGAGGCCTCTTCCTTCTCCTTTGCTGCTGAGTTTTTATCTTCCAGGGCTGGCTGAGTATGCGAAGTCAAAAGGCTGGATTTGCCTTGTGGGACAGTTCCTTGTTGCAGAGGACGGTATGGATCCAATCGTCCTCGACCGGACGGCCCGGAGGAAAAAGTGACTGGCTGGAAGGGAGGGTGCGCCGGCAGGGAGCGGTGGTCTTCCAACTCTTGGGCATGATCATCCCGCCCTGGGTTTGGTCGCCCTGGTTGTAAAGACAATAGGGATGGCGCCTGAGTTGGTACAGGTGGCCGTTGGATACCCTGAGTAAACTCGAATTCTGACCCCCTTTTTGACGGCATAAGAGGTGGTAACTGTATTTGTGACTGGCCAGGACTCGAGAATGGGTAGTTCCGCGCACTGCTGGGAGCAGATAAGGGAGGACTTGATAGCGGCCCGTGCGCAGATCCCGGTCCTCCGAAATACGCAGATCCGGTAGGGGGCGGAGGCCTATGACGTCGTTGGTATTGGCGAGGGGGCTGGTTCGGTGGTATCCTTTCGCCATAGAAAGGGGGGATGGAGCTTGACACATCTCGATATTCTGGAGTAAATGTGGAGGACGATACCGCGCCAGGTGAAAATAAAGGGCTATTATGGGTTGGGGATCGCTGGGACGAACCGCTGGAAAGCGCCATTTGACTAGAGAACGGGCTTGGGATAGCTGTTGATGTATGAATCCCCCGTGATGGATCTGGAGGAACCCACATGTGGGGATTAGGCATCGCGGGATTAGGCATTGGCGGCCCATATTCCACCCCAACCTCACTAGACCTCCTAGGTAGTCGTACTTCCGTGATCGGGCGAATTTCCCGGGAGGAAGAAGTCCGTCTGTGGCCATAGAATTGGGATGCGGGCGAGGAACTTTGCGGCTCAGGGCATGATACTCCTGAATGACTAAATGTGGGTTCGTATGGTTGCAGCGGTCCCTCTTCAACTTTTAAAGGGGGTCTGCCTCGTCGTTTGTGTCTGACGTCCACACAAGATTCCTATTTGGAAGTCATTCATTAGTGCCGAATATTTAGTGGGCTTGACATGGAAATTGTTCAGTACAGCTGTGATAAGATTAAATTCTACAAGATTGCTGCAGTTCCCAAAGTAAATTTCCGTCTGAACTTACTTCTTTTCCCGCTGAAATACATCTTCGGCATGGGCGTGCCGAGTCGCATCCAAGATGTTTCCGTTTGCAATTCACGCATGCCGAGGCGACATGAGCTTTTGCTCTACGTGTAGATCTAGGGGGAAGCGTGGTGGTTCTTGGGGGTAGAAGAGATCCAGACTGAAGAGTATGCTGGAGTTGAGGGCCATGAATCGCGGGCAGCCCGATGATAGACATGCCTGGCTGCCCGGTGGGTAACCGTTGTGAGTCAGGGAGAATTGCACTAAGTCCCGGGGCTCTTGCTGGAGATTCCGCGTAAGATAAAAGCGGCTGTACATTGCCATGAGTAGTGGACGTAATGGGTGAGTTGGAACGTTTTCGGCGCCTGTCTCCAAGGAGTGAATCGAAACGACTTTCAGGCGAGGGGGTTCCGGACATAGGGGGAGAGAGATAGGGAGCCCGAAGGTTGGGATTGCAAGGCTCGCCTGACAGATTCAAATTTAAAGGGAATCTCAGAGGATCGGAGCTTGACCCGTGGGCTTGTCCGAATGGCGTGAAGGGGAGGGGGAGCCCGGTAGATCGTAAGGAGTGCATGAGGTTCACTTTTCCCAATCCAACGTCTGGAACTATAGAAGATAGATAGAAGGGTTAAATGGCCGGCAAAGCCCGTATAAGGCATGGAAAACCAAAGAGACAACCGACTCGGATCTGGACTATCGCATAAACGGCGGAAGCATGAAGACCCAATGGTGCCGATCATGAATCTCGGTGTGAGCAAACACCATGGAATCTTCCGCTCATGGAAAACGCGAACTCGATCCGCCTAAAGGTTCATCAGCTCCGGCCGAAATTCCCTAGATCTGTCACATATGACACCCGAAGGTAGATAGTGGTAACAATCCAGCCTAAGGCGATCAGACAAGAGAACAGTTCAAAAAACTGTCACAGCCGTCGCTGGACGTAACTTTCCAAGTTATTGAGGAAGAGACTCCCACGATGAGGTATGACAGGCTCGAAATGAAATAATAAGAAAATGGAACACACAAAAGCTAGCTGGCAAGGGCTGTACGGGTGTGCGTGCAGCTGTTTAAGGGTCCAATTGATTGCTATCGCATCTCTGAATTCGCCACTGAGCGACGCCAAATCTGGAGACACCTTTCGGAGACTAAAGTTCAATGATTGCCAGACTGAACGCTACCATCGAAGGAGGCGCAACTAGGAAAGGATGCGATGACTAAAACAAAATAGGGAAAGGCAAGAGATCCGTTCAAAGAGGCAGAATGGAGGGGAAGGAGGCAAAAAAATAAAATAAAAAAATACAAAAACAGTAGGAGATAGAAAGAAAAAAAGGAGGAGTAGTGAGAATAGTTGGTGGCTAACTCTAGAGATGTGTTTTGAAGTTATAGAGAAGCTGAGTTGGTCAGAGAGAGAGAGAGGTGCCCAGGTGGATTTAGTAGTAGAACGGAAGATGAGGACATTATTGACCTAAGCTCCGGCTGAATCAATCAAGCCTTCGCGATCATCTCCGGAAGTGTATGGTTATCATAATACTATTATCCATCATGCAGGTCATAGCAAGGCAGGGTCCGGGAGCATACGCCTGAACTTGAAGAGAAGAGTTGTCACGCTCGAGCGGAGCATCTGCCTCGTACTGGGATTCCCCCAGTGCTAATCTCGGACGATGGAGGGTGGATCCTTTTAGTGAGCTTTCATTAATATTTAGGGGTGGCGTTGGGAGGAAGGGAAGATTCGGTATGGCCCCATGGACTCAGTAGTGGATTAACGCTTCCCCCCCTACACCCATTGCTCCAGAGGTTGTCAGGAAAAAAGTGGCAAGGGGGATGCCAAACCTCCCCGATAGTGATTTGCTACAATGAGCTTCATTTTGCCAACGTTTCCAATTTGCTCCGCAGGAGGTAGTATCCGTTGTGGAGAGCATGGCGGGTGCAGGTTCTGCAGGACGCACACATCCAGGAAAAAATGACCCGACTAATTTTGAAGTTGAAATAATAGATAGGCGGTAGATTGGTACTAGTGAGCTGCTCGCGAGTTGGATCATCATCCTCTAACATTCACGTTCCATGCCAAACGCAGACTGGGTGGGCTAGCTCGAAAAGAGTGACCGAGCTGCGGCGAGCGCCAACTTGGCAACAGGCTTCCTGATGGGTGAGTCGTCGTCCTGATCTGCTGTCACGTCGATCATCTTTGCATAACACCAGGCGGACAAATAGCAAAAAGACTAAAATAAAAAACCTAGTCCAATCACAACACGGCCTGCCGACCCAGAGCTTCCACTATTTACTTTTTCGTCGAACGGGAACGCTGAGCAATGGTAGTTTACCTCTGGCTGGCTGGCTGTGCTTGATCGAGACAACTGGATCTTGGGCTTTGGGCCTTTTGACGCCGAGAGATGCAAGTTTATCACTTCAAGCAGGGAATGGCCGGCAGGGTGGTGGCTTGCATGGGTCTATTATTATGGTTTGGTCGAAGGTTGCAGCTGTCAGTAGTGACACCCAAACCGAACAAGGAACACTGCACACTGATTCAAGGCAAGCATGGACGAGGAAGTTCCTGTGTGATACAGTCTAGAAGAGAAGAATAATGGATATTTCTTACATGTACAATAGAATATCTCCAAATGGACTATTATTGTGGTAGGTAGGTATGGTATGGTATGTTATGGCTGTAGGCTGAAACCGCAATAATATAATATAATTGTTCAAAGGACGAAGAAAACCCAAAAGAAAAAAACTAATTAGGGCTTGTTGGCCAGAAAGGGAAGTTACCTAACTAGTTACCTAGGCAGGGGGTAACTTAACAACGACCAATAAGGGTGGTACCTAGCGCCCGCTGGTAAACTCCACTAACGTCGAGGTACCTAATTGTGGTAGTAGGTACGCTTGTGGTGGATACAACGTGAATTACGCTGCGTACTGTACTGCGATATTCAAGCTTTCGAGAGGAATATCAGGAAAATCTTTGTGAACCTTCCGTGAAGTTGCAGAGTCGCTAAAGTGGTCGTGTTTTCGGTGTTTTCGGTGCTTTTGCTCGTTCAATAACTACGATTCCTTCTTCATACCAGGGAGTCAGCTATCCTCCTCGAGCACTACCATAAGCCACCCCGTCCTAAATTGAGAATTTATCAGACTGATGATGCCTTGTGTTGAACATTTTCGTTACTTTTTCGAATGTCTCCTTCGAATATTCATGGACACTAAAATAATATCATTGTTTTGAGTGCTGTGAGGATAATTCGGTGCCAATGAAAACCAAGACCAGTACGCAAATTCCTGCGAGGTATTTTTCAACCATGGCCAATGAAGAGAAGTACTTCGAGGGGATGTACGGAGTAACTTACTGTGCTGCACTTTAAACCCTTGAAGACAATGCAGTTCCCTGTTATCTACTGTAGCTGCACCCCGCCAATATACATGTAAAAATAATTTCTCGTTCAACGAGCATAGCTTTCTAGAAAGCACATCACGGGCAACTTTTCATGTGGCTTGTTTTTGGCTGGAATCGGGACGATGATGATATCAGTAGCTATTCGATCCAACCACCCAGAGTGTTTCTAGACCTGTCTATCACGAACTGCAGGATGTTAAATATGATCGCCGCCAAAAAAGTTAGTGGACCCCGCAAACTGTTTTCCGAGCCCGCTGTGATCTTCCGTTCGAACCTCTCATCCCCGTTCAGAAAATGCACTGACCAGCAGTAGTAGCAACGAATGTAAGGTGTCGTTCCCATTGCTGAGGGAAAAAAAAGGTTCGAGCTTTCCAGAAGTGTTTGCCGAAATCAAATATGATTTCCTCCACGGCGCGCTGGCTCTCAACTGCCCGTGATGGACGGTCGTCACGGATTCCCACAAATGCAAACAGACTGTGGCGCGTTCGGATGCTTCCATGTTATCAAGCCGTATCTGTCAACGTGCAGCCAGGAAAAGCAGGGTAACTCGCCAAAAGACCGGATCGACTGCAGCGTCCCTTTGGCTCCAAGAAGAATAAAAATAAAAAGCAAGGAAGGAAAACGGAAGAACCGTCCAACAAAAATTGACTCGACCAGTAACTCCAGTCAAAAAACATCATGACATCTCAGGTTCAGATATCTCTAACCGCAGTCGCCGGCTGAAAACACATTTTCAAGGCTGCGGCCTTCATAGTCGGTGAGCCAACAAGCTTTTGGCAACTCTCGCATTACCCGACTGGCCGCGTAGAATTCAGGTATCACATGTGCGCATCTCTGAAATGCGTGGAAAGTAAGTCAATAATAATGTGGCTGCCTCCCTTGGTTGTTTATGCTCACTATTATTGCATATGCAGGTGGAATACAGGGACCAGAAACGCATGCACGCACGCACGCCCCTCAACTAGAGTTGTGGACTCGGTTAATCCGGAAGTTTCCCCAGGAGAAAAACCATGTGAACCACGGATGGGGAAGGGCAAATATCCAGTATGTACATGTACAGTACGTTCGTCGTTCGTATGCACCTGCTGTACCGGTCAGTCTCCCGCAATTTTGAGAGTGGCGCATATTCTTAGAGCAACTGCCAGGAGAAAGGAACGGAAAGCTCATCATTCCTGAGCCCTGAACCAGAAATTCGCTCAAACATGCCAGATATTGTGAAATAATTGTTACTTTCTAGTTCTGTAATGCATTGATCTAAGTCCGGAGTTAGATTGCTGGGCCTATCCTCCAGAGACTTAACGATTTCACCCGATGAAGAATATAAAATAATGTTCCGTGCCTAGATAGATCCCTGCGCGCCGGGTTGTATGTACAGAACATGTATGTAAGTTACTTTACCGGATCCATCACAGCCAAATATGAGGCCTGTTTAAATACGCTGATATATCCTTAGGGAGCCGTCCGTACCCATGACACACACACAGCACTGGAAGATTCACTCGCACGTAAGGATGAGATCATGATTGTATTCCCGAGACATTGCTGATAGTCCATGCAAGGTAATTCCACTTTTAGTTTTTCGAATTAACCGCAGATGGAGGGAATACACACAATTAGTCAAAATGGGGAATATATCTTCATGACGCCAACACACCGAGTCTCTTCTGAAATTGTCCAGAGTCCCTAAACTGATATCAAGTTTCTACTCTTTCGCAGGTGAGAACATCATGTCCTGCTCGCTCAAAACCGGGCACTAAGGCTCAAGTTGAAGTTTTATGCCATGCCATACACCGACATAACAATAATAATAATGGTTCATCTTTGTCACATCTTTGAGAAGCAAATATAGCTAAGCCCCTTTTGCTGGCGCTCGCCCTTATGTATTGATCTTCAGGGTATCCATGGGTCAGCATGTTTCCCTTTCTCCCTCAGTCACTGGTATCAGATCCCTCCCACTTGTGATTGATTGCCTGCGCTGGTTCATGTGGTCCCAGCGTTGGGCCGCCCTCGCTTGAATACCTTATTGTCCTTGGCCTATCACGGCAAGCCAGCCGCTGGCGAATTGGCATGCAGGAATTATGATTATTCATCTCGGCAATTCTCAGGGATGTTTGGCGATGTAGCCCAAAGAAACAAAGCTTGATAATCCCTGAAACAGGAGGATTGTTACTGTCTTGGGACCAGAAACGGGAAAGTGGACACTAGACAGCACCTCCCACTAAAATTTATGCAGTATTTTGCTTCGGATGAGATAACAATGCAACGTCCGCAGCTGGACGGCCCAGTGTTTTGGTGTCTCCGATGTCGTTGCAACGAGCGGATATTGGCCCCCTTTTTTTTGAGTATTGTTAACATGGCTTCGTATCGCTAGTTAAATACAGCAAAAATGGACTGTAAATAAAGCACATTTTCTGTACAAACCAGTTTCGAAGATGTTGAGCGAGGCATGTACGCAGCGTAGAGATGCACGGGTATCCCTAACTTATCAAGCTGGGCCCTTCTATGAAATCTTCTCCTCTCGTAAGACGAACGGCCAGCCCTTCATCCAAAAACATGGCAGGACCTAACGGTGAAATCGTCGATAGAGGCGTGGCAGCGCATCAGCGGAAGATATATCTATCCTGGCTAGTGCTAGTCTGGGGTTCCGCTCCCAAGAGGCTCCAGGCTCCAGATATGGTTTATAGGCACTGCCAAGGGCGCGGATGGCTGGGATTCCCGTTTCTAAAAAAGGCTTCCCTTCTCCTTCAGGATTTCGCCGATCAAATGGCCTGGTTCATCAGATAATTAAACGACCCCTGGTCATTGCTTGCTGATTCTCCGAATCGTCAACCTACCAAATGCTACCATCCAAACGCCTGCGGGTCCCACCCTGTCTCGCTAGCATTCTTCACCGTTCGGAGAAAAAATACTAGGTACGTCAGGTTGGGTACCAACCCTTATTCTTTAGCTTCTTGCCTTGATGAATCGATTGGGTTTCAGAATATGAACATACCCCACCAGTGCGCTCATATCTCCTCCTGGAAATTTCTCCGGGGCGTCTGATGTCTCCCCCTCCACGGGAATGAGCTCCACGTCAGGAAGATTCCGTCAGGCCCAACTATTTATTCCGAAATTCGTAGCTGTCCCGACTTGCTCAATTATTTTTAGAGGTAGACGAGACTCCCTCAAGAATTACCCGAATTGTGTTCGGGGTTCTCTTGCTAGGACTTGTTGGAAGCTTGCAGTGAGATCTTTATCGTTGCCTCGGGGAGTTACATACATGCCTGATACTGAAGTCAGCCGCAGTTGAGTTAGTCGAAGTGCCCCTGATATACGACAATAACTTCACCGAAGCAAGCCACGCAAGAGCCTCAGAGAACGATGATTCAGTTTGTCTCAGCTGAACTGTCCACTGCTCTTCAAACTTTGAAACTTAAGCTTCTTCCATGTATATATAGATGTGATTCAAAACACCGAGGCAGTGTGGGGTTTGTCCATGGGCAGCTGTGGCTCCTATCCAGAGCCAATGGAGAGACGGAACCAGCAATAGTTAGCTAACTTACTCATACCTCAGCATACTAATAAAGGTTAGTTAGGCAAACAGGTGAAAATAATTAGTACAGGCCGTTTCGCCACGCTGAGAGTCGAGGATGGCACTATCCGCAGCAGCCCCCTTTTCAGCTCTGCGCCACACACACAAAGCAAAGCGAGCCGGAGAAGATCTACGCAGTAAGATCTAACCTTCAGGCCAAGCTGGAAAGCGCTTGACCCTAATTATCGACGAATAAATCTTTCTTCTTGACCATATGCATACGTCTTTTCAGCCAGCCCGCCTCCTGCATCAAAGCTATCACAAGCTGGATCCAAGCATTATCGAGCAGCTATATGATGCCCCGGAAAGTTGAAGATGGATCGCTTGAAGCATACGCAGCATAAGGGTGGCGAATCTATGAAAGGGTTGAGCTGATAGGATATCCTTCTATTTTTTATTCTGTGGAGACGGAGCTACTTCTCCATCACGAACCCCTTTCCAGCCAACCTTTCATCTTCTTTTTTGATATACTGCTGTGGCAAACAACTAGTAGCTAGGATCTACGTCTTCCGTTAATGCCGGGATACATAGGCCTCTCCAACGGTACTCAACTCTTGCTTGAGATATCCAATGCCTAGCTGACGAATCGCGGAGAGACAAGCTGTTCCCAGAGGCTTGCATCTCGACGTGAGAAGAGTGCCAAAGAGCCGAACGGCCTATTGGCTTGGTTTCTTTTCAAGGTGA